TTGTAAACAAAAATTGTGCAGCTGCGAAAACATACAAATATATTTTTTCCGAGCAGTTGACGTCAAATTCCTTCGAAAGCTCTGTTTTAGCGGGGCAAATGAATTTTCAATACTTGCTCGAGCTTTATTGATACCTTAGGTATAATTTTCTTTTGTTAAATTATTAAAATCTCCTAAAGGTGGCATTAAGTTTGTTTATAAAGGATATCCTTTATCTCCGATGATGAAGGAGTAGATGTCTGAGTTACGAAAAACTGTGGAGTAATGACATAATCCAGGGTAGCCGCAAAATAAAAGGATAAATCTGGCTCGAAAATCGCGTGTTCCTTTTTACGATTTTCCAGAGTCTAGATTACGGAGCAATCCTTATTGCGATTGTAGTATAAACTTCTATTTTCACCTACTGGTTTAATTTCTATGTGGCTTACATCAATTGCTCCTATTGTATCTGGAAATGAATATCAGTCACCTAAAATTTTTTCAATCTCTTTCATTTTCTCCCTAGATAGAATTTTAACAAAATAAATAGTATGAATCAATAGTGTGTTTAATCATTTCATATTTCAATGTCATATTTAATATATAGAAATACATTCCAATTAGTTGTTTTAATCATTCTAGGGTTGTGCGTTAGGACTAGACTGGCGTTTAGTAAAACTGGTCGGCGGTCCGACCAGTTTTACTAAACGTCGCTGGGATTTGAACCTCGGAGAGTGGCGTAGTTATATCCGTAATTTACAAAAAATGAATAATTACAGCTATTTTATATTTACAGTGCGCAAGAAATAATTTTATAGTTGTGTGAAAGAAGTTTTCAGTTCGCTTATTAAAAAGTTCTCGAAATATGGTAAAATAAGAATAAAAAAATTAACATTAAGGGGTCTAAACTTTGGATTATTCTCCTGATCAAACTAAGGGGACCATATTTTCCGAATTGCAGTTATCCCCTATATTTTGGGGGTCAGAAATCCGAATCAGCCGGGAAAAAAAAGTTTTTTTTTATTCAGAGAAAGTGCATTTTAGTGTCTGATTTCATAACTTAAAATATCCTCTGCACTAATTAATTAGCATATTTGAAGTCACCCCCTCGAACCATCAAGATTGAGTCTTAGAATATGAAGATCCGATTAGTAGATCAAAAGTAATTCAGGGTGGTCCATTTTTTTTATTTTGTGCACTGAACATCCTCCTTACCAGACTTAGTGATGAGGTACATACAAAGCGTAATCATTTTGAAAATTTAAAAAATGAATATTATCAAGTACTAGTATATAATACATACATTATAACAAGTTATAATCATTAATTAAAATAAATCATTGAATATTAAAAAAAAAGTTTCAATTCTTAGATTCTGCAAAAGTGTTAATGGCATTATTCAATTCCCAATGTATACTCAAATTAATTAATCCAATTAAACGGGTTTCTTTTGTGGAATTTTATAAGTATGATTTCATTCTTTTCAAAGTGGAAAAGCTAAGTTCTACACTAGCAACAGTGACAAGTAAAGTGACTAATGTTTTCAAAATGCTGTATACGTGTGGGCACGGACGTATATAAGGGGGGTGTCTATGGGGTCCGGACCCCCCCCCCCCTTAGCTTGAGTTTTTTTTTAATATCCATATTTCCAAATATCGCATAGAACTTCTTATAATATACGTCTTGCCTCGAAAAAAAATTTTTTAAGAAATATGTGGAAAATTTTTTTTCGTTTGTACCTTACAAAAGCTGAAGAATCCCTGGCTTTGCATGTTTCATTGAGCGAAAGAAACGAAAGTTTCATCGAGATAGCACCCCATCCACTCTGTCCTCCACCCGCGAGCAAAATGGAACGGCTCTCTCCCAAGGAAGGAAGACGTGCTGATGGTGGTAATTTCGGCATTTCGCCTTGCGCAGACAGATTGAAAGCGGTTCAAAACGAAACTCTTTCCTCGTGTACTTATACTCCACATGTAGATAAGAATAATTGATATTGAATAAATAAAAAGTATTCAAAAATATGAAACGTACTACTCAACAACCCAAAAAAAANTTTCCGATGTGTTTTGGATATTCCTTCTCTAATAAAAAGAGATACCATTTTGTTTTCGTTTGCATAAGAAAGAATATCAAGCATTTTTCTTTTTTAAATTTAATTAGCCACAGTAAAGAAGGAACGTTGTAATGCTACGTGCTACATTAACGACGTCTCTAGAGTAACTGAATGACTGTTCATATAGAAATCGCAGGTATTAGTCTCATACAACAACGCCCCCTATAGTTCGTTGCGATCGCGAATTGGCAAAAAGCAAAACTAGAAAAATAAATTTGGACAACAAAATAAACATTCTTACCAGCTGTATAATTCTTGAACTAGAACAATATTTTATATTCGTGGAACAATCGTCTATTGAGATGATAGAATCAGTATCTTTATGAGCATTAGTTTTAATTTTCGGGTCTTTAATTAGCCAATGATTCGTTATTGCAATAGAAACAATAGATCGCTTACACTGCTTTGTTACTTTCCAACCGCACTAACGAAAAAATAAATTTGAATTGGATATACTATAGCCTACGTCACAGGTTGTGTTATTCCTACTAAATTTTACCCATGAACATAATTTTCTGCGAGCCTAACTTCAAGCCACAAATAAACAAACGAAGTGTTTGATCGCTTAAATAGCTGCTCGCCAGATTTTATTGCATTATAAAGAAAAGTAATTGATATCCGATTTTTGATTAATAATTGATTTATGTGGATAGTGGCATAGAATTTAGCATTGCGTCATGGTAAATGTTATTCCTACTAAGTGGAAGTAGTTGTGTTTTTTTTATATTATACCCAATTGAACAAAAAAAAAAATGCCTTTTTTTCCTGCTTTGCTGTTTGTATTTTCACCCCTATCGCTAGTGATTGGTTGATACAGCGGCCTTGAATTAGATCTCACTACTCAATTGGTCACATGTGAGGTGAGAAGAAGAAAAAAATTGTTCTTTGCATAGATAAAGAACATTGATTCCATAAAAACATTTTTTTTTTATTTATTAAAAAAAAAAAACGCTTGTAATGTTTGTTTGTAAAAAAAAAAAAAAAAACAATTCTTACATAAAAANTGTAATGTTTTTTTGTAAAAAAAAAAAATAACAATTCTTACATAAAAAGGAAGTGCCATTCTAGTTTTTTGATGTAGAAAACGATTTTTGAAATATGCCAACTGGATACATCTCGATTTCCACGATGACAGCGATAAACTTTCAGATATGGAAGCACAAACTAAACGTGAATTATTCTGGATTGGCGTTATTCTTGCGTCGTTTTAAATAGCGGTCGCCGTGGTATTTTCCATTTAATAGTATTTTATCCTTTTAATATTATTTAAACTTTCAAATTACTACTGTAGATGGCGCTTAAAAATAAGTAGTCCTTTTTCAGATAAAGCTGTATTTTTTTAATTTCAAAGTCTAGCAACTTGACGGTTGAGAACGGGCAGCTCAACAGCTACACCATGAATACACATAGCTAGAAAGTTTTTGTTAGTTTAAAAATAAATGAATTGGAACCAGCGGTCGAAAGTAACGCATTACAAGTACTACTGGAGTAGCTGCTCTTTTTTGTAGTTAGTAGTGCAGTGAGATACAAAAAAAAAAACAGTTTCCCTTGCCATTCGTCTAGACCCGTGGCGACGACTATAGTAACGAGGTATAACTATTTCAAGTAGGGGTGTGGGGTCGGCGAAAAAAATGGAATCTTTTTCTTCCGTCTATTGTGTTAACCCTAGAGTGAAGAGAAGCTACCCTCCCTGAAATGCTCTATTCTTGTTTCCATAGCAACAAACGGCCTCAGACTTTGTGGCGGGGGTAGCTCTTACTGTAGACAAACTATAGTGATCCCTGGCAACTACTTTTGACGTTAGTTTTGTTGGAATCTTGTTTATTTACTAAACTAATTTTTCGAATTTGATGGGTACAAATCTTCTTGGGTTCATTAATGGATAGAATAAAAATAACCCTGCTTTAACAGGAATTACGTATTTAGAATCACGTACAACTAATATTTAAACTAGCCATTACGAAGAATAGATCATTAAATAAATTTTGATCTAATGATTGGATCTTCACGTTTTAAGACTCGAATCTTTATGGTTCGAGGGGGTGACCTCAATAATGCTAACTAAAATAAGAAGCGCAGACGATATTTTAAGTTACAAAATCAGACACAAAAATATACTTTCACTGAATAAACATTTTTTCCCCAACGAATTTGGATTTCTGACCTCCAAAATATAGGGGAGCCGCAATCTAGGAGGTATGGTTCTCACAGATTGGTCAGGAGAGCTAATCAAAGTTTGAATCACTGAATGTTAATTTTGCGCTTTCGCTATATCTCGAGAACTTTTAAAGCGAATTGAAAAACTTTTGTACACAATTATAAAATTTGTCTAAAGATGATTCCACGAAAAAAAAAATTATTTTAGTATTTTATTTAATATCTTTATTACTGTATGTAATATTTGAAAAAAAATTTTTGAATTGTAAGGTATAAAATTGCAAAGAATGTAATTTTACAAGTAGAATCATTGTAAAGAATGTAATTTTACAAGGCAAAATACATTATTTGAACAAATTTGGTCGAATTGTTACTAAGAAATAGAATTTCAAAAAAGTCAGATACTAAAAAAATCCATTTCTCAGGAACTAATTCCACCAATTTTGTATTTTGTCATATAAAATCACGTTCTTCAAAATGATGTAAAAAATTACATACCTTAGAATTTAAATTTTTTTTGACCATTATTAAAGAAAATATTAAAAAGTAATAAATATTTACTAAAAGATTTCTTTTGATTCCTCGTAGAAGGGGTCGTGTCCCTTCTAAGATAGTTTGTGAGGGGGCTAAAGCTCCCCCTGGTTCTGCAGTCCCTGGGATTTGGAAACTCCTGGTAAGTATTAGCATTTCCTATTACACGTGTCTAAGTTAATTCTTGTTACTCTGCATCGCATATTTATGAATCAATCTGAAACAGCTAAATCAAAATTTTAATGAACACAACAATACAGAATTTCATATTTAAGGTTATGAGCTATCTCTTAGTACACTTTGATTAAACCTAGTGCGATGAAACTTTCCTTGGTGACTGTCAGCTCGGTTAAGATGGAACAGTAGCCTCTCTTCTATTTTGCTTAATGCTTCCCAAGTAATTACCATGGTGTGATACTTCAGCATACTAAACACATTAAGTCCTACAAAAGAAAATAATAATTGCTGTATTAATAGTTCTTCTAATCAAACCTTTGATTGCTACATCTTAATCAAGTTTTTAGAGCATTTTTTTTTATATTTCGCTACAGTAAGAGTTTTTAATTCCAGGTGATTAAAAATTATGAAAATAAATATGCATAAAGGTAATCAACTATGTTCAAAGCACGAGAAATCTTAAGAGGAAGCTATATGGAGGGAAACATTTTTATGCCAAATTCTGTTTCATCTTCATTTGAGGTATAGATATAGGGCTAAGAGAATTAGTTTGAGAAAAAAAAAATTGATTGTAAATTCTAAATAAATAACAATGGGGAGCAATATTTTGATAGTTTACTGTTGCTTGAGATTTTTTTAAAACAGATCTTGGATATTTTCACGTTCCTAATTTTAAATCTTCACAAGATATAAGTTACAAGATACAGGTTTCTTATGTAAAATGGAACTTTTAATAAATATTTTGTTGAAATGTACAAGTTTAAAAACGTTACATAATATAACAGGAGGTCACATAAATGTTGCAACAAACTTCTTAGAGAGTTAGGGCAAATTATCAGGATTAAAACTACATAAGAACACAAGCCGGAAATATCGTCATACACTGCTAGCGGTGTAAGTTCTTCTGAAAAGGCCAGAATAGGAAAGCGCCCTGGACCGCCACATTGTTAGGCACGGGATCATAAGCANTTACGTAGGGTCTGCGTAGGGACCGAGGGTGTGCGGTATTGGTCCTCGTTAAACTGTGCTGCCGTAAAGTGCTCGACTTCGAGCGCAGGTCGTCGGGTTACTGAAGCGGGGGTGCCATCCCAGAGGATCAAAATTGTGATGGCATGTCTTCGGATCATCCTCCGGGATGTTTCCCAGACCGTCGCCAATAGCCCATTGTGCAGCTCTAGTGCGACGTAAATAATTAACAACAACAACAACAATTCATGGAAATGACATTTTAAGTTACCAGGGGTCATTGTGAGCTTGAGTCAAAATTCCGGAAAATTTCTTGAGGAAAAAAAAAAATTTTAAATCGAAAAATTAGAAAAAAATTTAAACAAGGTTTTTTCTTTTTCTCAATATTTCTTAGTTTACTTAAAAAAAATTTATAATTTTACACATACCTATGATGACCTGGAGAAGTAATTGAAATTTACAAACATGTCTTTCTTTCTAGAGTTTATGATTATAATAACTATTTACTGACAAAAAATTAATATTAATCATGAATATAAGCTTATAAAGTATCTCTCTGGCTCTCCTTTACAAACAAATAAAATAAACTGTGTTTTTAAGTTCCACTTAAATAAAAAAGAATTTCACCGAAACTTTTGTGATCAATGATTTTTTGAAACGTCTGAACCTTCAATCTCCGGAAACTTCCGGATCACGATTAGCAAAAAAGCCAGAAATCCGGATTTTTTCCGGAGCCCAATCAGCCCTGAGTTAAAAAATCAAAAAAATACTTTCTTAAAATAAGCAAGCATTTTTTCCCGTCAGACTCTGGACCTTTAAAAACATGGTCCATATAATTTGGTTGGGACAGCGATTTAAAGTTTGGACACCTTAATGTTATTTAAAAAATTTTGTGAATTCTCACATCTAAAAGAAGACATATTTTTATTTCTCTAGAACAAATGGGTCAATTACCTTCAAATTTTGGATTTTATCCTTAAAACTACAGATTAAATTAGCATACATTTACATAGTAACTTAAAATTCAAATTTTATCATTCAAGTTCATTATTAAAATAAATAAATACATATATTTTGCATGAATCATTTTTGGATGAGCGCGATTTATAGTAATTTATAATTTTTTTTAGATTTATTTCATTAGTTGGGAAGATATAATGAACCATACATGAAAGTGAAATTACATTAATGAGTCCAAACAGTCAACCGCTCTCCTGATCTGTTTATATACTCTTATTTTACTGATTACAGCTACCACCGTATTTTTAGGGTTGAAATTCTAAATCCAATGAAAAATGTATGTTTATTTACAGATTGTCCAATTTTGTCCTTAAAATATCATCTATCCAACTTATTAGAATAAGAATGTGAAAATTCTATCATTAGATCAAATGTTATTTAGGTTGTTGACTTATTATTTTTTGCACACCTTTTATATTTAAAAATTAATTAATTCATTTGCCACTTTTGTTGAAAACAAAGGGACATAGTGCTTAGATCTACATATATCTATTAATAATAGCCTATGAACAAAAATCAATAATTTAAATTTCTGTTGGCATGCCGTTGTTAACAGATTTGAAGATCTAAGCACAATGTTTCTTTATTTTCTACAAAAAAGACATTAGTGGTTAGATCTCAATGCTGCTCTATTTATTTTATTATCACCCTATATTAATATGTAGAATGGTGTGTAAAATGCGAAAGGTTTTAGGAGGGTAATTAATTCCATGCTAAAAAAATTTTTTAAAGAAAAGAAAAATAATTTATTGAGTTTGGAAGTAATTTAAATTGGGCATGTTACAAAATTTACTTTAATCATAGTTTTGATTTTAATGCTTTTGAAGGTTTAATATGAAAATAATAGGAATTTTGAATGTTAAGATTAAGTGGTTTCGTTCTTTTCTGAATACTGGAATTTTTTTAGTGACAGAAAACATTCAAGAAACTACTTTTGTACCTAAAAAGAACTTTTAAGAGTCAACAAATCCACAGCATGTACTATGTTTTTTGAATAAATAAAATTAATTTTTTTAATTAACCTTATTAAAGTAAATGTTTCTGTAACTCTTAAGTTCAAAATTCTCCTCTATACCACCAGGGCCAAATCAGATCTAAAACAAGTTTTTGAAAAAAATAAATTAATTAAAATGAATCAAGGGTATCAAAATTTAGAAATAACTACGCTTCAAAATACAAAGCACTTATTATTTCTCATTTCTATCTCATTTTCGTTTGGAAAACAAAATAAATGAGTTTGTTCGATGTTCTAGAAGCATATTTTAATCCCATTAAATATTATAGCAATTTGTAACTATTGATAAACACTTTTCTTAGCACATCATAGGGGGGTATCTTTTAATTTTTGTTTGTGCTTAAAGTATACAGATATAAAAATGCAATTATAGTTTACCATAGAAAGGCATCAAGGCCACTGATTCCAATTTCTCTGTTGCAAGCGTGATATTTCTGGGCATAATGTCAGAGCTATAAAATAAAATAAATTCATGATATAAAACTATTTTTAATTTTTGCATTTAATTCTAAAACTACAAATAGGAGAAAGCAACTTACTGATTAACAAACAGAACAGAAACACCCCATTTTCTGTTTTCTATAAGGTTTTCAATGAACTAGAAAAAGAACGGAAGAATTAAAACTGAGAACGTAAGCAAATTTACAGTTTTTCAGAACTATACTTAAAGTGATTTTGATAAATGTAAAAATAATTTAAATGTAAATCAATGCAATTGCGAGTTTAAAACTTTTGTACAATTAAAAAAAAAAGCTTGTAAAAGCAGCGTATAATTAAAATTCCTAATTAAAATCAATATTTCCTTAATTAAATAATTTTAAAGTAGGGTTTCAATTATCTTGAACTGAAAACAGTTAATATGTCATTAAACATTTTTGTTCATAAGTAATTTTTATGGATGATTTCTCAATTCTATAATAAGATTACTATATTGTTAATTGGAACACATCAATTTTAAAACCAAACAACGAGACCAGTCAATAATAGTGAAGCCATAAAAAGGCACTCTGCAATATTTTGTTATTGCCTCTTCTAAAAATAATAATTAATTGTATGAGACCTGAATTCCTCACTATAAATTTTTGATAATTTAAAATAGTTAATTAAGTTCCTTTTTCATAAAATTCCCATAAGATTTTAAACAATAAATCCTGATTTTTACAAGCATTATTTATTAAAATATTGAAGCAAAAATTCCCATTGTTTGATTCTTTATGTGAATTGTTTCAAAATACGCATTCATATTATTAAATAAAAAAAGAAGAAAAAAACTATGTTCTGAGCACAAAACCTAGGAACGACAGGACGAAAGATAAAATCAAGACAAATAAGGATCAAATATTTTTTTATCAAGGAAATCAGGACAACTATGAGCCCAATGATTAATTTTTTTTTTTTTAAAAATATTAACATATTATGATTTTAGACATGAGAATACCAATTGAGGATTGAAAATAAAATACTTATATAGAACTAATTACTAATATATAAAAATGTTTGCAGCAATTTTTTTTAATTTTTACCTTTTGATCTTCTGAAGGAATTTCTAATGAGTCTACAATAACTAAATCATCCTAGAAAAAATAAAAATACAAATGAGAAAAAAAATTCAACATAAACAAAGAAGAATGCTAAACACATATATGTTACAAAAAAAAGAGAAAGATATTGTTTAANGCCTACTTTTTTTTCTCACGGTATTTCTCAGAATACTGAAAAAACATTTACTATAAGAGGGTTGTACTTTTAAAACCAAATTCACGTGATACTGTTACGGACTGGTTCCTTTCTGTCCTGCCAGTATAGTTTTCGAGACTATCTGTCATTCGCGAGGTCTTTATGTGATGATTCTGGTATCCTAGACGTTCTGTCGTCTTAGAGACAATTCAAGAATTTTGGAGATGCGGTGAAAAATTATATAAAAGAGGGAACAGAGCACAGTGGAGTTAGTTAGTCAGACTAAGAGTTATCTATGCCGCTTGTCTTTCGGAGCTTGTCGCTAAATCTGTTTTGTCTTAACAAAAAGTTGATTCAATCGCCGAACCCGCCGTCGCCACCGTTTCGACTAGTGAAAAAATCAGTAACAATACCATTGGAGATACTGTGCTCGTTGAAGTTATTCATTCCAGCTCGAAACTTTGAGATCCTAGCATAGCGGATATTTATGTGCCAATATATGTATATATATATATACATATATTTGCTGTTCTTGGATCTTTAGGATGTAAAAATGCAAGAATTTAACAATTTTTAATTATTTTGAGAAAAAATCACGACCTGAAATTAGTGAGGTGACAGCATCTAGTACCAATGTAAGTTTTTCTGTTGTACAGAAATGTGATACTTCCGTTGAAGAAAACGTTTCTAGCATAACAAAATCTGATGAATGTGAAAGTGGTCCTCAAAGTGTTACTTCCCACCCATTTGACATTGGACTTTTTTCAGAAGATATAATATTATGTTCCTAAACATAAAAAATTAAATCAAAATTTAACTAAACAATGTTGTCTAAATAAAAAGTCAAAATTGTCTAGCTGTCTAAATTAGGGAAATAATAGTGCTTTATTACAGACTCTAATTTCTTTTAGTAGTTTCAGAAAATTATGAACACCCTTCTTGAAAAAAATTCTGCGTACGCCACTGCTTATATAGAATTAATTACTAATATATAAAAATGTTTGCAGCATTTTTTTTTTATTTTTACCTTTTGATCATCTGAAGGAATTTCTAATGAGTCTACAATAACTAAATCATCCTAGAAAAAATAAAAATACAAATGAAAAAAAAAATTCAACATAAACAAAGAAGAATGCTAAACATATATATGTCACGAAAAAAGAGAAGAAAGATATTGTTTAAGAAAATATCATTACTAAGGTTACAAAAAGGCGTTTTGTCGAATGAGAATAAAGATTAAGAGGTCTAATTTTAAAACATATTAAACAAAAAGAAAAATTCTTTTAAATAAATCAAAATTATTTAAGTTAAGTTATTAAGAATAATTATTATCAATTACTTTCAGCCTCTTACAATAATTTTTAAATACAATTAATATTATTGTTATTATTTTCTTTTTTGGTCTTGTAGTTGTAATTTTCATTACTTTATTAATATTATAAAAAGGAAAAATAAAAAACTAAAAATATAAGAAAATTATAAAAGTTCAGATTTCTATACAATGTAATGATATTCAAAGATGAGAAATTTTCATAATTTTAATAAATGTACTTATTATAATCATAAAAAATAATATATCTAATTATTAATTTAAGAAAAAGTTTACTTTTCAATTAAATATCAATGAATGTTTAATAAAGACAGTTAAATTGTAATATAAAGTTTCTTGTTTTCCTTTGTTTCCTGCTTTCTTGTTATTTTTTTCTTAATTAGATATGCTTCATTTGACTTTATTGCAGATAAAAAAGTTCTTTTAAACTATAGTTCTACTTTTGAAGAATAAAGTTTATTAAATGACTGTCACAAAATAAAACCACTGGATTTTATATCCAGCTACTTATGAAAATCACATCTACAAGAGCAGAATTATAACAATATCATAACATGCTAAAACCAGCCTTTAATGAAATTATTATTGCCCTTTTGTAAAATCAAATTTTGGCAAAGCATATGTTTTAAAAATGAAAAATTTTCCCTTTTTTGGCTAAATTAGAATTTTCTATTTTTTTAGGTTTTGAAAGATGTGTAGCAAATAAATTAAAATTTTAATACTTTTCCTTATAAACAGAAGAACAAAGTTACAGATGTGGATTACAGCTATTGAGGAGTGAGTGTTATAAGACTTATGGTAGGGTACTGTAAAGGAATCCAGATTAAAACTGTTTATGAGTAGAAAAGAGTTACGGAAAATATTCCAAACCCACTCACTCATTTACAAAGGTAAATTTACCAACAATAAATGTCTGAAAAGCACAGTGAGTTTTAAATGAACTTTACAGCAAAGAAAAAGAAATATTGAAACTTTTATAAACTTCTAAACTATGTTGAATTTTAAACTCAAATTTTGCTTTTCAATTACATATGCTGATTTTTTTAAAACCCTACTCTAAATTAAGCATTACATCTCATGCTTAGTTAAAATGTCAAAAGTTACTTGTAGTAAAAATAAAATATAAGAGTAGTAGTGAATTTAAATTTTAGTGTATTTGTGAAGTTTAAATTTAAAAAGTGTTATTCCACAGTGTAGATAATAATTCAGTTTATAAAATAGGAAAATATAATTGGTAAAAATAAAACACATATTTTCAGAATGAAGTTTTTGGAAAATCATTTATCCTAAAAAATAGAACAACTGATTTAATCATCCTATGTTTTTTAAAGTTAAGAACTTCATTCAGGTAGTTTAAAGCAAAAGTTCCAAATATAGCTTATGACAAATATTTATCACAGTTACCAAAGGTTCTAGAAAGATGAAAATTAAATAAATTAAAGAGAAAATAAATTTGAAAGAAAATAAATTTAAAAAAATTAATAAATTGCCAATTAAAAAAAAAGAAAAACTTTGGACTCCCCCCCCCCTAAACTCGCTTTGCAAAAAGTACAAAACGGCAATGTTAGAAATTGTTAAGAATTTAATTAGACAAATAGAAAACATGTGGCCTAAGCTATATTTATAACTATTATTATTTCCACTTAAAATATAGTAAAGTGAATGAAAGGTAAAATTCCAATAGCGTATGGATTTAAATGTCAAGTAAAAATTCTGCCCTTCAAAATAAACTATGGGAATTCATATGTAAATAAAGTTCATCAAACATTAATATGGAAAAGATATTTAATAAAAATATACATTTATCAAAAACATTTTTAATGTTAAACATCAACATCTATACAAGTGCTTTAAACATGTTAAGTTAATTGCTATTTATAATAGAGAAATATTTTTAGAAAAAAAAACTATTTAGATTACTTATTATAAAGATTAACATTACTTTGAAATATTTTTTAATAACTTTAAAAAATTACTTAATTAATTTAAATAAAAACTTTAAATAATTTTCTTAATAACTTTAATAGAAAAGTTTCATTATTTATTAAATGGCAGAAATACATATACTTGCATAAATATAGAGCTGGATGCAATATCTAGATAATTTTAATTAAAATAAGCCACAAATAACTTTTGTTGTATTGATTGAATATTCACAAACTATGTACAAATCTTAATGGTTTAAAGGGTTTATCTCCAATATGCTAGTTAATTAGTGTAGCTGATAAAGATATGAAATCAGATTCAAATATATACTTTCTCTAAAGAAAACATCTTTTTTAATGATATGGGATTTTTAATCATCAAAATATGGAGAGAAGTTGCAACATTTTTTGAGTATTTTGCAATATCCATTCCTTAGAAAAGAATAAAGCATTTTTGCAGACAATTATAAAATTTCTTTATCTAAAGATGTAAGAAATGATTTTTAATAATTACTTATAATATTTATTATTTTATTAAATTATGAACCATAAAATATATATATTTTTACATTATTTTAAACCATGTAGTTTTAAATGACAAAATCAATTNAAAGGAAAAAGAAAAAATCGAATTTAGACATAGTTCGGATAATTGGACGTTCGGATAATAAGGGTTTGGATAATCGGCGCTCTACTGTATATTTTTACATTATTTTAAACCACGTAGTTTTAAATGACAAAATCAATTGAAATTGGTCAAATTGATTTAAAAAGCTTTCTTTCTCAAAAACTATTTGATCCATTTCCTTTAATTTTGTTACTCCAAGTTTCATAGTTTAGTAGAAGTCATTCAAAATTACAACATTAACAATAAAAAAATTATAATTATTTTATCATCTTTTATACTTGTATGCATACAAATTTCTTGAGGTGTAGTAAAAATGCAGAAAGTTAAATTAACAACTAGAGCCCCAAATTTTTGAATATTTTTCTGACTAAGCTTTTAATACCATATTTTTGTTTACTTCAATTACCTTCTATATTTTAATAATCAAAAATCTAAATCTTGAAAAAAAAATATATATACAGTCGGACTTCTATTTAACTAACTTCCATTTTACGAATTGCTCTATTTTACAAATTTTTTCGAGGAACCATGAACAATTTGGAAATTCCTTCGTAAAATAACTTCCAAATAGCGAAGTGAATTTTCTATTTAAAGAACTTTTCATAGAGATCCACTTTCCCAGTTTTCCAAAATATTCCTTAACATTTCAAACTTGTTAACGCATTTTATGAAGGAAATGACCTTGAATTAATTTTCGAAGCCACTGCTTTATAAAATGTATTACTGTTTTCTCTAAAAATGATCTTAGAGAAAGCAGTAAATTCCTTTTTCCCTTTTTGTTTGCACTTCAAACGAAAAACTATGCTTAAATTAACGGATTTTATCCGTAGAAATTTAACTTAACGCATGTGGTAATGCAGGTTAAAATTACTTTTATAATAAATGCAGGTATAATTTTATGCATAAATTTAGCCTTTTTTTAGTTGAAAATATATATAGCATGATAGTGAAACACTGGAAAATGTTTTGCTTTATTCTTGCTTTCCAAGCAGATCTCTTTTATGGTTAAGATTTATAAAATAAATAGTAGATACTAGTTTACAAGATAAAAGTGCATCAATTGCTATTTTAATTATGTCTAGTGTTTATGGATTTAAATCCTGTTTTGTGTAGCTTAAGTATTTTAAAAGGTGATTTTCTATTTAATGAATTTTCCATATAACGAACTTATTATCAGGATTTATTGACTTCGTTAAATAGAGGTCCGACTGTATAGATATTTATTTAGGGAAACTATGTTTTGTGTCTGATTTCATAGTTTTGAATATAGTCTGCACAAATTAATTAGCATATTTGTTAACACCCATTTGAATCATTAATATTGGCTTTTTTAATTCATGAAAATCCGACCATCAGAACTAAATTTTAGTAAAATTTTAAGGTGAAATATTTTTATCTTTTGGGTACTGTGCACAGTAAAATTTCTCTGTGTATCATGCCATAGAAATATCATGATAGTGGAAATATTAGAAGCTTGTAAAATATCAATCTGGAGATTACACTAAGTGCCAATCAGATGTAAAAAATATTACCTTTGTGAAAAGTTTGGCCTATAACTAAATTGGGCTAAACAATTCATATGAAAATCTCATAATTTATGGCTTCAATGATATTAATACTATCAATTAAGTAAGATATTTTTTGGTTATTAACTAATATATATATCTTTGCGTGTGTTTCATGTAATTTTAAACTGAATTGATACTGTAAGAAGGAAAAAACACAGCAAAGTAAATTTGCCAATTTTACTAAAGAAGTCAGTCGCCAATTACATAAATTTACGCTTCATAATATGTAAATTTTGATTAATGTTTGATATTATTGCCATATAATTCAAGCTAGAAAAATGTTATTTAAATTTAAAAAATATCCTGAATATAAGTCTGAAATAAGAAAAAAAGTATGACGTTAAAAAAAATTGGTTGGGGATCTTCTGATTTAGAAATACAGATTATATTATAACTTGCCATATTTTGAGAATCTATAACCAATTGAAATTTTGTTTAATTATTTATTTAATAATTTTGTTATTAAGGTTGTAAAAAAAAATTTGGGGGCACAACAAAACAACAATAAACCATCTGTTCCAGAACTCCTATGTCTAAAGTTAGAAGATTTGGCAGTTATTTGATAAGTATTAAAAGCTTTTTTTAAAAATAACAATTAAATTAAGAAAAATCATAACTCATTTTATTAATTTAACTTCCATCATTAGACAAAGATATATGCCTTTTATATAGTTGAACTGAAAGTAACTAACTTAATTATTACGGCACAAGTCTGTCATAAATTTATTGCAACACTTTATTGAAATTAACTGAATCTATATGAAAATATGTATTTTATCATAATATACACAATTTGTTAATATATTCTAAAAAATATATGCTCCAAATCCTCTTATTTTAAACTATACAGAACATGGTTTTTATATAAACAATGCTTAAAAATCCACAAGACTGAAAAGAATTATTTTTGTGAAGAATGTCAAAAATTAATTAATATGAATGGGAATTAAGTTATCCATAAAGTTAATATTTTGTCTTTCAAAAAATGCATAAAAACTAAATAAAAAGCAGCTTGTTAGTTTTATTTTAATTACCTACACAAAACTGTTATAAATTTTCAAAATCAAGTTTCATCTATAGTATGTGTTTGAATCTCTGCAATACATATAGTTCCTTATTTTAATATACACTCAAGAGCCAAAACATTATGACCACCCCTACATTTTGCAATGAACTCTCCTGGAGGATGTGGAAGGCACGTGATCAGAAGTGGTATGGAACTGTTGCTGAAGAGTTTGAAGAATCATTCTTTCACTTACTTCTGAGTGTGATGGAAAATGCTGCGGATCTAAGCGATTTTGATAGAGGGCAGATTGTATTGGCTCGAAGGCTCGGAACAAGTATTTCTGAAACTGCACAAGTATTTCTGAACAGAGCAGACCATGAATGCTACAGGGTATCTGAACATAATTGCGGACCAGTTGCACCCTTACATGGCCTTTGTTTTTCCAGCTGGAAATGGAATTTTCCAACAGGACAATGCCCCATGTCACAAGGCTCAAATTGTGTTGGAGTGGTTCCAGGAACATGATGCTGAATTCCAGTTAATGTCCTGGCCACCTAACTCACCGGATCTCAATCTGATAGAACAAATTTGGGATGTCATGGAACGGCAGCTCAAAGGCCACTAAGTCGCTATATTTCAGATTTGCGTGACCGTTGCTCAAACATCTGGTACAATTTGTCTCCGGCTATCTACCAAGGACTTGTGGTATCCATGCCAAGGCGGGTTGCAGCTGTGTTGCGGGATAAAGGTGGACCAACTCGTTATTAAGAGGTGGTCATAAAGTTTTGGCTCTTGAGTGCAATAACTTATTTTACAGACACAGGGAATTTTTGTAACAATATTCAACAACTTTTTAGAACTAAATGATAGGAAATATATACTTACATATTTATTTTTTATTTTCAATAGTATTAGATGGAGTTTCAACAATTTTAAAATTTAATTACTTTCAGTTTAGGATGACAAAAGATTATCCTTGTCAGGTGTTATTGATTTATCAGTTAACAGATAATATCAACAAAACATTTTCACTGAAACTTAATAAATAAAATATTAAAAAAATAATAATAATTTAAAATGAACTAGAAAAGTGTAATTATTTTAAACAGTTATGAAATGGATTAAATTAACACCTGTGCAAACTTGCAAGTGAGCAATGAAGACAGTCCTCTAAGTCTGGTAGCTAAAGGCAACATAAAAAATGTGGTTTTTGGTCCCCACTTGGCATGAGCTTTTCCTCCTGAAAATAGAAAATAGCAAATTAGTTTTTATTAACAAAAATCTTAACTTAAATGCATAAATTAAAAAAATAAACAATTTATATACTGCTTTACAATAATTAGTCTAGAAATAATGATATAGTAAAAGTTCTTTCAGATGGAAACCTTGAAGGATTAGGTTGGGCATTTTAAAGAGTTTTATGTAATGTAGATCACTAATCATATTGTTAAACTTACAAATAAGCATGCTAATATACATATGAAACAGAAAAATTTAAAATTTTCAAGAGCATTAAATTAATAACAAACAAATAAATTTTGGTTGCTCTTAAACTAAAAAAGAAAGAGGAATCTCTAAGTAAATAATCAAACAAAAAGTTATCAGCTCAAGTACAGAAATTTTTTAATTGCAAATTCCATTATTTACATTCACAAAGTGAATGCATACCTGCCAAGTCTCCTGTTTTTAAAGAAAAACTCCTGTATTTTACCACTATCTCCTGTTTACCTGTATTTTTCTTAAATTTCTCCGTATTTGTTGAAATAAAAAAAATTAAAAAAATGGCGATAAAATAGCTGTTGATAGCAAAAATACTTTTCTTATTCCTCAAAAGATCGTGCGATTGGAGAAATTGCAGTATGCACTGCAGTATGTTGAGGGTTAATACATAGTTTAAGTAGTTATAAATAATGGTTTAAAAAAATATTTTTCAGATTAAGGTTTATATACATATTTTTTACTTTGCTAAATGTAACTGCTTATATTATTTTCAACTTTGAATTTCTCTTTTTGACTTACATGATATGCATGATGAATCAAAATTTTACTTGTAGTCTAAGAAATGTCGCTAGTAAAATCAATCCCCATTATTTTATTTCTCCAATGTTGGCAGGTATGTAAATGCAGTTTATGAAGAATTGTGATCCATAGAATTGCGTTACATAGATCTCCATATCTCCATTGCGATCATAGATCTCCATCTGCGTTACATAGATCTTACATAGATCTTATAACTCTTATTTCTCATGTTACCATTTTTTCACTTTAAAAATATTACATTTTACTTGAATTAATTAAATTTTTGTAAGAATTGAAGAAATTAGGAGGGGAAAGTTGATTTTTGCACTTATAGAAATTAAATTTTCTATCTTTATTTTGTTAAAAAAGGAATAAATAGTATAGTGTTTTCCAATCTTTTTTGGTTGACAGTACACTAAATATCATTTGGAAAATAAAAACATTTTTACATAGTATGGAATAAATATTTTTAAGTAATAATAAATATTTTTGCTATATATTTCAAAATTTAATTTTATCAATAGTGAATATTTTATCCAAAAGATAAAGAGAGAAAAAAAAGTAGACCAATAGAATAGAGTCTAACTCTCAAATTATAGTTATGAATTTTGTTGTATGTAGTATAAAGTTTTCTATTAATTTTTAAATTATTAATATAAAGATTAATATAAATATAGATGTTATCAAAAATGTAGTTAATGTATTTAAACCATGAGTAAAGATTTTTCTGCTAAAAATAGAATAGTTTATTTTAATTTTTCATGATCTTATTTCTGATAAATTGGCTTCTTGTTTTTACAGTTCATAAGGCAGTTGAGCAGAGGTGTAGGGACGCGGTGTGCAGGGAACGACGTACCATGCTGTTTTTTTTTAAAAAATAAAATCCTATTTTTTGTCTACATTAAAGTTTTCTTAGAAACTGCAATTTTTTTTTATCAGTTGTAAAATTTTAATATTTTGGCTTCCTTTATGTATTGCAAAATTTTTTATGCTTTTAAAGTTCGTTAAAAAGTAAAAGTTGTGTAAACAGCATCAGTTACTACTGCAGGCATATTTGACATGAAAAACCAAAGCCATCCACAAAGGAATTTTTACAATTTTATCACAATGTTGTGGCAGATTTGCCACAAGAACATAGGTAAAAGTCTGAAAAAAATAACTATAAATTCATTTATTCAGTGAACAGTTTGTAATAATTAATTTAATAGCATTTAACAATTTTAGTTATAAGCATTACATGTTTTAGTTTTATTAATAATATTAAGTATTGTTAATACATTTAATCAGTGTATTGATTAATCTGTAAAAAATTAAATTTGCATAAATAAAATCTTTTTTGATTTTCTTTTTATAATTAGATTATTGCTAACTGTGAACAGCAAATAGTTGTTATTCTCTACAGTTAACACTGTAATGTTTTTAAAAAAAGTTAGAATCTCATGTATTGTTTAACATCATAATTTAATAGACTGGTGATTGATTAAAGGAGAAAATTTTACATATATACTTTAAACAAAAGTGGGCAGTAAAAAATGTAACTTGGATTGACACCTGGGGTTGAAAAATACTAGAAATAACATAAGTAAAGCTAGAAAATGCAGAGTTAAAAAATTTAAAAGATAGAGAACTGTTTTTGAACTGAGAGTAAACACTAATCAGGACTTTTAACAAATTTAAATAAAAAAGAAATTTCTTAGATACAAGCAAGATTAACTATTGTATATATTTCAACATAAGTTAATCTTTTTTTGCTTTCCAAAAAAGTTCGGCCACCCCTCGAGTTGTACACAAAAATATACAGTATCAGTTATTAAGTTGTAATCATGCAAAGAATTAAAATAATAAGTAGACTATTTTTCGTTTGTTCAATGTTTCTTATTCTCTTAAAATATGTTTAAGTAAAAACTTTCTTTCTTCTGGAGTTTTAAATTTTTTTAAAAAATTGATATTTTTCAGAAAGTCAAGTGATGACATCAACATTTGGAAATAATAACTTTTTTTTAAATTTTAGTTATTAATAACATTCATACTAATGATCAAAATTGCCCTGTTTATTTATAGGTGCTAAGGTTAATTTTTTTGGACATAATTTTTTAATGTGGTAATTTTCCTTGTAAAGTAATTTTAAAATTTTCAATACAAATTCCAAAATACATCAGAGAAAAAAACAAATGATTCAATTTGAACAAATCGTTATTCTACTGTGAAATATTTGTTAGAATTTTGTTTTCATGAATATAAATATACTTTTTACAGGGAATTATATCAAAATATTTTACTTTTTAAACAAAGTCTTTTTTAATAAAATATTTTCTCTTTTTTTTAGGGAATTCGTAAACTTTTCCTAACAGTAGAGAGAATATTTTTTTAAAGCTAACAAGACACGAAAATTTGTGGAATCTCATTAACAAACAAAAAGAGTAGGCATCCATGAAATATTGACATACTTTAGTCAAATGTCAATTTATTTTTAGAACAATAACTTCACAAAAAATTCAAACCAATACACCTTTGAAATATTTAACATTCATGACAGAAAGAACAAAACTAAAACTCTAAAAACTAAAATGATATTTAAACTAATTTCCACATCGAGAATACACGATTTAAAGAGTGTAAATTGCAATAATAATAATAAACAAACCTCCTTTAAATATTGGGCTCCGAATACTTCCATGCCTAGCTCTGCCAGTACCTTTCTGTCTCCAAGGTTTCCGGCCACCACCTTTCATGTCTGCACGGCTCTTATCACTTCTATAATCCTAAGAGAGATTCGTTAATTATATATCTATTTACAATTTTCTCTCTCCCTTTTTTACAATTAGGTCAGCTTTTAAGTAGTTGAGTACAAGAAACAGTTATGGGAAAAGCTAAATATTTATAAACATATATATACAGTCAAACTTCCAGAAAAGACCACCTCTATTTACAACTACTTTTGAAAGGCATAGAATTTTTTCCTTAGACTTTGTGTTGAAAAAACCTTTAGGAGAGACAATTAAAACCTCTCACAGGGACTAGGCAATAAATGCAGAAATGGTCAATTATGGAAACACAAAAATATCAAAACAAAATATTTAACAAAAAAAAAAATAATAATAATAATAAGTAGATTAAAATGTATTTAAAATATTTATGTGAGGCTCTTATTTAGAGAGCTTTTTTTGACCACTTTTGGGAGGCATGGAATTTTTTCCACAGATTTTGTGTTGAAGAAAACCTTTAAGAGAGACTAATTAAAACCTTTCCCAGCAACCGGGAAAACATCTGCACCAAATGCAGAAAAGGTCAATTAAAGAAACGAGTAAAAAATATCAAATCAAAAAATTTAACTAAACAAATAAGTAGATTAAAATGTATTCAAAATATTTGTGTGAGGCTCTTATTTAGAGAGTTTTTTTTTGACAATAAAACCTCATGTTGCAGTCAAAGAGCACGAAAGACAATGCTGTCAATGACTTACTTTTAGTAGAGTTGAAAGTTAAATTAGAAAGAAAAAAAAGTTATTTGTGACTCAAAAAATCAAACCTCTTCTCATCTTTTAAAGCTAACTAATTTTTATGATATAAAATTATATGCAAACTTAAACAAAAAACATAATTGTTTATTTATTTAAAATAGCTTGATTTGGTAAAATTGTTCTTGCACATATTTATATCAGTCGGGATAATTTTTATACATGCTAAATTTTATTCATAGATCCGTCTTTTCAAGACACCAACAGAAGTGGACTTTCCGCACCAAGAAAATAACACTGACTATAATTAAAATCATTAGCAAAAAAATCAGGTACCTTTGAAAAAAATTTTAATTTTGAAGTCAATGAAGGTAACCTCTAAGAACGACCATTTTACAATGGAATTCAGAATGGCCGCTCTCAATATATATATATATATTCTAAAATAATTAGTAAATATAATTAGTAATTCTGCCTTGCCCAGCCCGAGGATCGAACCCTGGATCTGTGGCATGTGAGCGCGAAGCGCTACCACTCAGCCACCGGGCCTCAAGAAAACCTTTAAGAGAGACTAATTAAAACCTCTCCTAGCTACCAGGAAAACATCTGCACCAAATGCAGAAAAGGTCAATTATAGAAACGAGTAAAAAATATTAAATCAAAAAATTTAACAAAACAAATAAGTAGATTAAAATGTATTCAAAATATTTGTGTGAGGCTCTTATTTAGAGAGCTTTTTTTCACAATACATGTTGCAGTCAAAGAGCACGAAAGACAATGCTGTCAATGACTTACTTTCAGTAGAGTTGAAAGTTAAATTAGAAAGAAAAAAAAGCTATTTGTGACTCAAAAAATCAAACCTCTTCTCATCTTTTAAAGCTAACTAATTTTTATGATATAAAATTATATGCAAACTTAAACAAAAAACATAATTGTTTATTTATTTAAAATAGCTTGATTTGGTAAAATTGTTCTTGCACATATTCATATCAGTCGGGATAATTTTTATACATGCTAAATTTTATTCATAGATCCGTCTTTTCAAGACACCAACAGAAGTGGACTTTCCGCACCAAGAAAATAACACTGACTATAATTAAAATCATTAGCAAAAAAATCAGGTACCTTTGAAAAAAATTTTAATTTTGAAGTCAATGAAGGTAACCTCTAAGAACGACCATTTTACAATGGAATTCAGAATGGCCGCTCTCAATATATATATATATATTCTAAAATAATTAGTAAATATAATTAGTAATTCTGCATATAATTCTCAAAAAAATTACAAGGGAGATTAGGGAAACAAAAACTGATTTCAGGACTCTTTAAATAAACAGTTAATGCTATATTATACTATATTATTATATAGTTAATAATATCAATAGCCCATTGTATTTTCATTGTATTACAGTATTTTTTTTAGAGTACAGTACATGTGCAATGACCATAGTCTATAAACATCTAATTGAGCCAGTGATTCTTGCTAGACTTACAATAAAATGAATCTTTTCTTGCCAATTTTTGTTCTGCCATATTAAGTCTATTCTTGGCATGACTCCGAAAACTGAAGGATGAAGTTCAACCAGTCCAAGCTTTTGTTCTTCAACAGTACTTATACTTGAAAGCCATGCTTGTCTGGGTGCAAGGTACCTATTAGGATGTTCTGGACGACATGGTACGATGACGGCAGATGATGGGGGTGAATAAACAGAGTCTGAAAATATTAAAATAAGTAATAATAATATTAGTGTGGGGATAGTGGTTATCGACCATGTCAACCTTCATCTATTAAAAGACATCTCAACATAGAATCGAGTTAACATGTCTTATATACTAGTGAATTGGAATTGCAGTAGCAGACACCCTACAGTACACCCCCACCAGAATTATATCTGATAGAATTTGATTAATGGAACCACTAGTTGATACATTGCTGTTTTGTGAGAAGCCAGGAGAGCTGAATTAAGATCATTGTACTTTTTTTAGTGATAAATTTTTGTTAGTGTATTAAGTTCACGGTCATGGTCACTACTGTGTTCCTTTTACCAGTCGAGTGTATACTCTGTGTATGATCGAGACTGAGTAGTAACAGCGCGAGGAGGTGGATAATGTCACAGTCACAAGTAGCAAGTCAACTGTTCAATGTGGACCATCCATCAAAGTAGGCATGTTCAGATCAAAGTGGGCGTTACAGTCAAGATAGGCATGTTCATATCGAAGTGGGAGTTTCTGTCAAGGTAGGTATGTTCACATCACGTCCGAAGGTTACTAATGGGGGGGGGGAGAAAAATTATTGACAAAGTCAACCTTCATTTATGAAAAGGTACCTCACCATTGAATCCAGTTAACATGTCTGATATACTAGTGAATTGGAATTGTATTTTTGCGGTGGTAGACACACTACAATTAGTAATAATATATAATATAAAAAAATATTATTAATAAGTATAATAAAAAAATAATTAATAAGTAACAATATTAAAAAAAAGTAACAAAAAATATGGGGGGAGGGTTCTTCCACATTGGTAAATACCGTAGAAAAAACCACGAAAAGAAGTGCTCTGGCAGAAATAGATTTCTTTCATCCAAAGAGGAAGAAAACCTTTTTCAAAAGTACATATCAAGCATTAAAACAAGTTTTTATCAGTTTAAAATCAAAATCTAGTTTAAATAATAGAATTAATTACCAATCTATTTAATATGTCATATTTAAATAATTGAAAACAACTTGGGAAGTCTCTAGCTACCTTTTATTCTTTTGCTTCACTCTTTTTAAAAGTGAAGAATAATAATACAGAAAAAAAGAAATGTAGTCGAAATTTTTCTGGGGAAAAAGTTTTTTTTGCTACTGCGCACATCTGCCAAAACTACACATACTATGTTATAAATTGACTGAGACCCAACGTAAATGTAAACAATAGAATCTTTGCAATAATAAACACAAAATTATAGAAAATTAAATAAAAACTGAAATAAGAAAGGAAACGACTGAAGCTTCAAACTGCAATAGTTAACACCAAATTAATTATTCCTCTAAATGCAGGAAAACAAGATGTCCTTCGACGATGGAACTGACTGGTGGTCAATTCTTTTCCTTTACAAAGACAAGCACTTTAGAAGATGTGCAAAGCAGTTTTCAATATTAAACTATAAGGACAGCAGAGAAAATCCAATTCAAACTTAGATTTTCAGATATGCAAAGAGGAGCAATGAAGTAAATAGTGATAATTGAATGATAAAAATTTTATGCATTTCTTTAATTTGAAAGTAGTAGGAAAAAACTTTATCATAAGCCCGTGTTGTACATCTCTAGTACACAAGTAAGTTTTAAAAGATTTTTTGATAAAATTTGAGTTTAATAATGCAAAACTTGTACTGAATTGGACAATTTTTGTCGAAAAAATAACAGGTCTACAGATGCATTCCAAGAATGGGTCTTTTTTTAAAGTTTCTTATAAGAAAAGAGCACAATTTTTAGGCTGGGAAGAAACAGGCGGAAATTGAAGAAGTAAAATAAACTTCTAAGTTGGATATTTTACAAAGTATGGTTAGGTTTACTAAGTATGGTTAGATTTACTAAGTATGGTTAAGTTTACTAAGTAGGGTTAAGTTTCTAAGTATGGTACACTTCATCCATTAAAAATAATTTCATTCTGAGATCCTTCCATTCTAAAAAGTGGTTAATTTTATAAGCTGGCAACTGAAATTCCTTAAAATTTTTTTTTTTATATGCACAGTGCACAAAAAAAAAAAAAAAAAAAAAAAAAAAAAAAAAAAAAAAAAAAAAAAAAAAAAAAAAAAAAAAAAAAAAAAAAANTAAAAGGAACAAGTTTATTAATCTTTTTGTTTTCACACACATTTATTTACTATATTTATTAAACATATGGATATTACCTATTATAAAATTATAATCTGTAAATATTTATAATCAGTAAAAACTAAAATTTCTTCTGATTTGAGTTAAATAAAAAACTGAAATAAATATTTAATGGTCTTACATGTTTCTATAATAAGATTAATAGAAAGTGAAATTAAAACTATGGATAATTATAAAGAGTATCAGTTACTTGTCCCATTTGTTTTCAAATAATTAACCCTAGGAAAAGGATTTCATTTTTAGATAAATAATTTTAAAAAGTTCTCTTATAAAAAGTTATAGCTTTTTTTTTAAAGCTAGAAAATAAAACTGTTTAAATTTGTTAATGTATCACTTGGTAAAAAAAGAAAAAAATTGTTCCCTTTAAATTTTTTTTAATATATTATATTACCTGTATGTATTATATTACCCGTTTATTAATATATAAAGCATGCAACTATATTTGAAACATTGATCTTTTCAGAGTATATTATTTAAATTTTTATTTGATTTAATATCATTAAAATATTACTTTTTGAAAAAAATCCACTAGAAGTTTTCAATAGTAGGTACCTACTGTAAAATTATATGAAGATTCGAGTTTCTTTTTCTTTACTAATATTAAAAACTTAATTATATAACTCATGCAACTCTATTTGACAAATTTATGCTGCACAATAAATTATATAAAAGTAAATGCGAAACAATAAGTTTTAGTAAAAAAAAAAAACTCGNTGAACACCCTGAATAATTCTTGATCTCATGAATGAATGCGTTTTTGTTAAAGTTTACATTACCAAATTTTTATAAAAATTTTCACATTTAAAGAGTGGGTTTAAAACGCATTTTTTGTTGGAATGAAGTAATTTTAGAAACAGTATGCATGAAAGAACAAACTGACTACACAGAAATTCCTAACTTGGGTTGCAACTTTTTTCAAAAATGAAGGAAATTAAAATGCTAAACACCAAAAATTTATTATAGGAAGACAACCACTTCCTTATATGAATAATATTTGATTGTTAATTAAGATTTAGATACACACACACATATATATATATATATATATATATACAAATTGAAGAATACTGCATATAACTGTACATTACTAGCCAATACTGTAAATCATAGGACCCCCAGGGGTCTATAGGAGACCACACGGGGGTCCACATAGACGTGAAAAGAAAACAGTGGTTCACAAGTTGTAAGTGGGGATCCACGAAAAATTTTCTGGTTTTCATAATAAAGAACAAAAATTTTGGCTTGGATTTACCTATCAACGTAGGCAGGTAGCATCATTCACTAGGTAGGTACTCAAAAATATTCGAGACTCAGTTCAAACACATAAATGAGTAGAACAGTAGATAATAGTACAAGTGTACACCACATGTCGAGACTTGCAAAGTGCCGCCTGTGCGCCCGCTCGAATTTAAATACCCTGCATGATGACTTCAAAAATAAATTTGAAGATATTCTGACGATGGAAATACCACCATGGATCATAACTCCATTTGATGAAATGGAAGAGGTGAATGTGGTATTACAAGAGGAGCTACTTGAGCTCAGCACCAACAAGGAACTGAAGGTGAAATTTAAAAAAGGCTATCAAGCATTTTGGCTGCAGGCAGAAATCACCGAAAAATATCCTGGGCTGTGGGAAATTGCGAGAAAATTTTTGATAGCGTTTCCCTCTTCATTTCTTGTCGAAAGAAGTTTTAGCGCCATTACCAACCTGTTAACAAAAAAAGGGAGCAGATTGAACATCACAGAATGGGGAGATTTGAGATTACTTCTTACAAAACTGAAGCCAAATATTGATTATTTGCTGTCAATTCATCAAGTACACACGTTTCATTAAAAGTATGACTATTTTTTATTGTTGATTTACATTTCAAGTTCATTGTGGATTTTTTGTCAATTGTTGATTGTTTGTAATATCTATATAAATGTTTATAATTTTGTAAAACCACAAGTATTATTTTAATAAATAGGACACAAGAAAATGTGCTACTTTTTTTTCTTCTTCTTAACACCCCCAATTTAGGGTGATATTTTTTAGGAGTTTTGGGAATACAATAGAAATGTAGCAGCAGGGGGTCTACCGAAAATAGTAAGACTTTGAAAGTGGTTCACGAGAAAAAAAAGTTTGGGAACCTCTGCTGTAAATCATTACTAACATTCCTTACTCCTAATCATGAAGGAGAGATAAGTGGTTATGGAAACTTGCGTAGTTTTTAATAAATTTTAAACTAAAAATTAACATTACACATTCACTAATGAAAAGTTACATTATATATTTGATTACATTATATAATTGTATTACATTATATAATTACATCATAAATAATAATGATACAATTTCAATTAAGTTACATATATACATATCTGTATCTTTAAGACTTTAAAATACTGATTTGCAAACATTTAGACAAATGTATTTATGAATAGATAAATAATTTTTTTAACACAAAATTAAATAAGTTGAGTTGAATTTTTTAAAATTTATTGCAACTTTTTATGAAGCAACAACACTATCAAAGAAAGATGAAAAAATTTACAAAAATATTTTAGAACAAATCAGACATTAAAAAAAAAAAATGTGCAATGACNAAAAAGGAAAGAAAAGAAAATAATTACAAAGTTTCTAGATAATAATATATTACCTTTTGCTAAACTTTCAACTGTTGGCTTTAATATCTGAGGAACATCTGTCTCAAAGGCACATACAGATGAAAACTTAGGGATCTATAGTGTATATAAAAATAATGTGCTCAGTATCATTTTAATTATCATAATTTTATTGAAACTAAATAATCAGCCATCCCGATAATAAAATAGAAACTTAATTGAATACAAATTAACTAATATTAATTTACTTAGTTACTTCTTTAAGTATTGTCTACTTTTTACAAAAGTGTGAAAAAATAGATAATATATGCTTGTGTGACAGTCTGAAGGGCACATATAGATAAAAACTTAGAGTTCTATAGTGAACATAAAAACCATTTATACTCAGCATCATTTTAATTTTCAAAATTTTCTCAAACTAAATAATTAGTCATCCCAATGATAAAATAGAACTTTATTTGACTTAATAAAGTGGAACTTAAAAAGTATCTTAACATGAATTTAATTAAGTGGATGCTTAATCTATGTACCCTTCCCCGAAGAAAAAACAATTGCAAAATACATTAAAAAAAGGTAAATTTTATCTTTTACAAATGATATTGTTTTAATGTTGTTAATTAAGAAATTCTGGTATAGAATAGAAAATTTTTTTTCACAACAAATTGAGTATATATGTACCTTGTTATGGCTTTGGAACTATATCTATAGAAATATCATCATAGGATAAATAAAAAAATTCTAAATAATTAACAGCAAATTGAAAAAACAAATGTTTTTTATTTATTCATTTTTATTTTGGCAATATTTCTCCCATTCATTTCCTCAACAGTAGCTCAAAATTTTTGAACCACAAACTCTTGCTCTATAGCGGATATAAAAATAATTTGTGATCAGAATCATTTTAATTTCCTTCAAACTAAATAATTAGCATTCCCAGTGATAAAATGGAAACTTAATTGAATAGAACATAAATAAATATATTTTTCTATTTTCAATGCCCACCTGTGTTAACATTTTGTCAATTCAGGCATTTACAGGGCAGAAATGTAAGCCACTCTTTCAGAGGCACCATATTAGGTGGGCCAGCGTTGCTCCTACAGATAGTAAAGAGAATAAAAGAACATCATCCAAGCCTTGCCCTTGATTCAAACCCAGAACTTTTTAGATGCAAGGCCAGTTTTATGACCCCTACACAGTCTGGTCAGTGAATAAATAAAGATTAATTTGTCTACTTTCTAACATAGGTGAAAAAAAATGTGTAGCATATTTTTGGGTGGCAAAGGCTATGATAAGAGTCAAGGACCTTAGAGCAAATAATTGCATGCTCAAATCATCATAAATAAAATAGATATCCCTTAGTAGACAAAAAGAAAGTTTTATATAATTGCATAGCCATGAGAGATCTCAACATTCCAGAACACTTCTGAGCTTTAACATTGATTAAGATGCTATGATGTGTTTGAGCTACATGTTACCGAGAATGATGGGCCACTCTTTCAAATTAATAAGGCAGCGTCTGCACACAAGAACAAAACAGGTATACCTTTATTAATTAATTCTTAAACTATTGCCTATAAAGGAACTTATATCTTTACATTTATAGCAAACAGCAAATGCACGTACAGTGTGGCTTTCAGGAGAACTCCTCCAGACACCCGTCTCGTTGCGGGTACTATAGTTATGAGGAAAGGTCACTACGAATAGGGGTGTAGGGTGAATAGTTTTTATTTTATTTTATAACCGTCGTTGAACAGCCGACCCAATTTCATGGGTTTACGACTACTAACGCTCAACTCCGTAGCCTTGTAATTTTGAACCAATCCAGAAGACAAGGAAACTCCTGGATCAGTACCCCCAGAGGTATTGATTTGTTATGGGAACATGGAGGACTTTGAGACTCGACAGATTTAACGTGCATCAGTCACCATTTACTACACGGGGAGTCTTCGGCCGGCGAGGATCGAACACACGACCTCTTGGATATGGGCCCAGCGCCCTACCGACCAGGCTATCCCGGCCTGGTGAATAGTTTTGTCTTAATCTTGGCATAGGTCGTCGTGAGTAAACCAATCATCACCTTCTTTCCTCCATTTCACCCCCATTAAAAATGTGCTCTCGCTCGTCACCATAGCAGCAGACAGTTCCAGACTTTCAGTTTGGAGGAGTTCTCCTCAAAGACGCACTATAACTGACAAATTAAAAACACATAACAATGATAATTTTGCACACATAAATATGGAGCAAATGTAAATAAACTTACGATTCTTTTCAAAAACAGAGAAGAAATTAACTTTGTGGATTTTAGCATTTTCAAACTGAAACTCTGTAAAATAGAATAAATTGTTAAGAGTTAAGACTTCATTTGAAAATACAATAGCTTTAATGTAACTTTTACATAAACATATATACAATATTTTTTCTGTATTGGGCATGTGCAAAATCTCGCAGAACACGATAACTTTTACTAACTTTAAATAATTGTAAATGAAAATTCGATCATCTATAATAGTAAAATGATGAGTTTGTGTGTCTCTCACATAACTCCAGAACCGTTATCCAAATAGAAATTTCAATAAGAATTTAGATTAAAATGTGAGGTGTTATGATGGATACATAAATGAGAGTCGACGTGATTAATAAATTCTTTTTAAAAGAGTATTCCTGTTGCACGATAAAATAGTAATTATATTACAACGTAAATCATTTCCCTATTTAAAAATGAAAGAAGTACGGTAGGATATGGCTAAAAAATATACCTATACTTTACACATTGAAATATAGTTTAATTTAATAATTTCTCAGCATTTATCTTTTAAAGTATTGTAAGATTCTTGTACACTTCCAAAATATTAGACTTTGTTACTTGGAATTATACTCATAGGGAAAATTAGCTTACAGCTTTGTGTAAAAACATATTACGCACGCGTGTGCTTTACTTTCTTAAGAAATGACACTGCGTTCCAAAACTGATGCAAGGAAAATAAACTTGAAATTATTTACCGTCATGAAATCTTGTTACAAAATTTTGTTAAGACAATCGAAAACCTTGACACTTTTATTAAAGAAGTTATATGTCATAATAAACTGTTTATTTTCTTATCTGATTAAGTTGAAATAAAAATTAGAACAGTAGGCAATCGAACTTTGCAGATTATCGTACGATTTGGCATCATCTTCAAAAACTATCACTTTTCCTGTAGTTTCGGGTTCGAAAAATAATCATTTCAGGTAAAAGACGACAAAAACATGGCTTGGACGAGTGCCGGTGGTGTTGGACCAATTGGTCAATTAGCCGAATTCTTTGGCTCATCAGAGCCAGCGCTTAGATTATTAATCACTATATTACTCGGTATGTAGTTTTTTAGTTTCGTATGCTTTATTATTATTGTGTTTTCATGATAGTTTCGTCTTTATCACCCGGAAGCAATTAAACACCTCTAAAATACTTAACAATCTTGATCACTATTATTTAAATTAACTTTAGTTTTTAATTATTTACTTATTGCTTGTTATTTATTTATTAAAATTTAGCAAAATACGTTCATCAGGAAATAAGTAAGAGCAGAAGGAAACCATTTCAATTTGTGTATGGACTTTGTATGATGCACTTGTATTAATATCTATTGTTTATTATAGGGTATCCCTTAGCATTGCTGCATCGATATTTGTTATTTGGAAAAACTCCTGCTGTTCAACATCTGTATTTTATATTTTGTGGCCTTGCATTAGGATTTTTCAATTATGGTAAATAGAAATATAATTGATCTCATTCAACCTAATATATATAGTAATGCATATAATAATCTCTTTTCAACTATAGATAATGCATTAATCTTTTTGATAAATATAATGTTAATGATTTAGATCAGGAATTTGATCGCATATTTTAATTTATCATTAATTTTCATCATTAGAGTAAAAAAAAAAATGAGGGAAATGTAATGTCAAAGATAATTTATCTTGCTTTTAAAAAGGCTTCGATTAAAAAGAAGTGAAATCTTTTTGAAATAATTTTTCAATCAAGCTTGTGTAATATTTCACTTGTAATAAAAAAGAAAACTTAATCATTTTAGGCTATACAATGCAATATGTACATATAGATGGCGAGTAATTTGTTTCCACTACTATGATTTTATTTATCTTTGTTATCAAAATGTTATTGTTTAGCAGGGTTTTTTTTTCAATATACGTGGTAAAGTATTATATTTTAGATTTTAATTGTGATTGAATGTTACTAATGCTAAGAATTTAATGATCTATTTTTTGTATTATTTTATTTATTCTATTTTTTGTATTATTTTATTAAAGTTACAGCTAAATTCTTTGAATGCAATGTAGCTAATATATTGAGTGTATACTATATTAATCTCTTAAGGCAGAATCACATTAGTATGAAATGATTAACAGTTATTAACATTTTTATAGATTTGTTACAAATTAAAAAAAAAGTTTTAAATTAGCCATTTAAGGATATTGAAATTTTAATGGTATCTATTTCATTCAAATAGATGTAGATAATTAATTCAATTAAAGAAAATAAAAATTATACTCTATCATATTTCTTTGTTATAGTTTAGTCTTGTCTTTTAATAGTAGTAAAATTTATTTGTTTCAAATTAGGCTGCTATTTAATAGAAGGTTGTACAGTCACAGTTTTTGTTTGTTATTTTCTTTACCAGAAAGATTTAAATTCATTATAACTGGATATTTTTAAATTCTTTTCAAACATAGAATAAATACTTAGGAATAGTGTGAAAATAAAATAATTTAATAAATAAAATATAATTGTTATATTTAAACATGCTATAATCTAGGAAATATTTTTAAAGATATTATAATCTATGGAAATATAAAGTTATATCATATATTTCAATTCTCTAATTAAAAATTTTTTTTTTAATTCTAGGAAAACAATTTTGAATTTAAAATGCATGTTGGATTATAAATAACATTGTTTATATATAAATGAATAAACTATTAAAGGCTGTAGCAGTGATTTTATTTTAAACCATGTTCTGAATTCAATACAAGGGGATCATTGTAGCTTAAATTTGGAACAAGTAACAGATCCTTCACAAATTATTTTGTTGTAAAAACAGACCCTTTTCGAATTATATTGTTTTAAAAATTGAGCCTTCCCAAAATACTTGTTAATAGTTTTTAAAACTACAACTCCTTGAAAACATGTTTTTTTATTTTACCCCACAATAAAACAAAAACAGAGTTTTATTTTCATGTATTAAAAAAACTGGACAATGTGAGAAAGAAATGGATTCTAAAGTAATTTAGATTCAGTAAAGTATATTGTGATTTTTTTCTAATAAAAAAAGAGGATATTTTTCATAAAGTTTGAACAAATCTTTAGTTTTTATATATATTTTTTTTACGAAATTACAAAAACAAAACCCTGTTTTTAAAAATTAGTAAAATAATTTGTAGTTTTTTACAACATCATAAAAACATAAATGATTAAATATATTTATTAAGGACTGAATAATAACAGAAAATGCTTGTAAAAATCATTATTAGTATCTTTGCTTTTCGGATATTTTTGTCTCATGATAACTAAATGTAATGGCGAACATTAATTCTTTTGACTAAAATTGATAAAAAATAAGCTAAGAAATAGTATGACTTAAAAAAGAATAAATCGTTTGTCAATCAAGAGCATTGAATATGATGTCTTGCAGGAAACTGATTTTAATGATGTGATAGAAGACCTTGCCTCACAAAAAGCGTAAAATGTATTACTATCTTCTACTTTCTATACAAATAGCATAGCTGCCAACTCTACTGGATTTTCCAGTAGACTACTGAATTTTGGTAGTTTCTCTTGGTCTACTGGTTTATTTAAAATTCCCCTGTGCATTTAGATTGTGCATTTTAGAAAATACCCTAAAATTGAGTAACTTTCCTAAAAAAATCCGTATTGAAATAGAATTTTTGTACCGATTATTGCTTGCTTGCTTGAATAATTAAATAAGTATTACTGATACATAATGAAGTGAACCTCATTTATAGAAATCAGTTCAAAACTCCTTTTGTTCTAAAATGTTTATTTTTATTCAGAGGTCTCTTTTTAAATGAATTAAAAAAATCTTTTAACTGCGTTTGATGAATTAAGTGCCTATTAATATTCGAAATTATGAGTAAACATACATGAAATTTTAAGTATGTTTAATGTCAAACATAACTGGAAAATATTGAAGTTTTCCTATTTTGAGGGCTATAAAAATCCCTAAAATTCCCTATGTGTAAAGTATTTAGTACATTATGCAACAATTTTCATGAAATTTATATTATTTTGTAAAATCTACTGGATTTTTTCCTATCCATGTTGGCAGCTATGAAATAGTGTATTAAAGCTTTAATAATAAGGTATTATTCTTTTTTCATTCTTGAAATAAAATAATTTTTAAGAATTATTCAAAAAAAATTTTTTTTTTGAAATTACTCATAAAGGACCCCCAAATAAAGACAGATCCAGGGCTTCTAAAAACATACTATGTTTTAATGAAAAAAAATGGGTGTTGCACTGAAATTTGTTTATCAGAATTTCGCATCTCATCTATTTTTTAAAAATAATCACATTTTAAACTTGTAATCGTGAGAATCAATGCAAGATTATCAAAAAAATAGATTAGGTTTCCTGAATTAATTGTTCAAGTTCTATAACTTTTCCATAAATAATTTTGATAATAAGTGCCTACTTAAATTTTCAGGGTTTGACATCTTACATTCTGTCATTTGCGTATTTACTACTTACATTCTTTTGGTCGCAATCGGAGGAACTATGTTATCAGTCATTATGTCATTCTTATTCCTTATGGTAAGTTTAATCATTAGTGATTTACATAAATATAATCATAAAACATCAGAATATATGCAGATTCATTTAGGACCAATCTTAAAATTTTTATCTTAACACTTTTTTAAGAAAAATTTTAGTGCATATAAATTTTTATGAAAAGTGTGCAATTTTATCTAAAATATGTTTTTAATACAAAATTTTAAAAAATATGTTAAATATTCAGCAAAAATACTAAAAACGACAAAAGATTGTAGATGTTATTTTATACTGATATCGTTATAAGTTATACTATTTTTGAAAATATATTTAATATCTTATTATTTTTGATCTTGTTTATTGTTATAAATTTTTTGACTACATTTGTTTACTAATTAAGTTAATTTTTTTGGAATGAAAAAATCTTTTTTTAGGGTCCTTTGAAAATAAAAGATTTTTGTTTTATTTTTTGGATAATTAGAAATTATCATCATTGTAATTTAGATTTTTTTTGCCATTAATGTGTGTAACTGAAGCATTGAATCAAAAAATTTTAAAAAGATTTTTTTTTAACATTCATTGCTGTGTTTATTTATTTTGATTTCTGCTATAACTGAAACTATATGTTAGCTTTTGCTTACAAAATATTTTGTAATTGTTACCAAAATCAGTCATTTTTGTTAATAAAGCGTATTAATGAATCATTTATTAGTAATGATTCATTAAATGAAAGTTGAACAGTGGAACCAAATAAACATTAAAAAAATTAATATAAAAATGAAGATACTTTCTCTTTGTGTTTTTTCCACATTTTATACCAATTTAATTTCTAAAGTTAATTTTACTCTATCCAATATGATTAATTTTGTTTCAATAGATTATTATTATGTAAATATATTGTTAATTTATTTAAATTATAATTGTAGTTGGCTTGATATTATGACCTTTGTCCAAATAAAAAGTGTGATAGCATGAGCTTCACTCTAATGTTATGTGTGATCAATTAAAATTGCAAGATTGTATTAGATATTAATTAAGGAATTTCATCTCTTTCTTGATTTTATCTTCATGAGTTTAGATTGATGATTAATGGAAATATTCTTTAGTTGCCTGATTCTAATTATTGAAAGGAAAGCCCTAATGACGGCCATAAGTGTGATATTCAGCATATTTTATTTTCTAAAATGGGTTCTTTTAATTTACATTCAAAATGGGTCATAGTGTATACCCTTTATTTTTATATTCTATTGTCAAGATATCTACTGCTTATTTGTTTTCTTGTATCTATTGCTTTTACTGATTTGTATTAATATAGCATGGCATTTCAATAACATTAACACTTTTAACTTTTTCTCAGGGTTATCTAATATTTGGCTATTATATTACGGGCACAGATGATTATGACATTAAATGGAGCATGCCGCAATGTGTTTTAACACTGCGATTAATTGGTATAGTATCTTCATTTAGTACTTTTATTTGTTACAATGAAATATTATTTCAATAATAATTATACTTTTATTTTAAAGGTCTTGTTTTGGATGTCTTCGATGGGCAGAAACCACACGTATGAATTATATACTTTTTTTCATTTCTTTCTTTTTTTTTCTTTCTTTTTTTTTTTTTTTGCATTGCTTGTACAACCTGCAAATGCTTTGAAAATGATCATGTGTCTCTAAAGACATTAAGCTCTGCGCATTAATTGTGTAACCAGATAAGTAAAGTGATTTTTTTATGTTGCAGATTTACTTTACATACCTGCTTGATGACAATGTACTGTGTGTCACTTTCTATCTTTCCAGGCCTAGAAAAGTGACCACTTAAAAAAAAAAAAAAAAACTAGCATGCACATAATCAAACAGAAGCTCTTAAAATTTAGAAATCAGAACCTATTTAGTTGTACTTACCATCAGTACATAATTTAATAGCTTTGTTGATTGAGGATAAAATAAAAAATGACATGAAAATTCATTTAATCTTTTAGTGACCACTTTACTTGTCCTATTGTTCAACATATAATTTTTTTTCTATCATTTTAACAATGAAACAAGTAAAATGTAATTAGGTAATTGAAATAAGTTATATTTAAACAATTTTCTTAATTTATATTTATTTACCTGTTTTTCTTTTATTTTATTGCTATACATTTTAATTATTCCATTTTATTTTATTTTTTTCATATTTTTTAAATTTGTTTATAAATTTTATTGTCTCATTTTACAAATTATTTGAAAAATAGAGAATAAATAAACATTTAGTATAAATTATTTACATGATCATTTAAATAAAATGTGCCATTGTTGTTGTGGCTTATCCTCCAAATGTCTGACGAATTCAGACAAGGTCCATCAGACTGTTGACCCTAAGCAAATCGAGTACCAAAAGGGGGATGAGTGTGTCCTCTCTGGAAAATCTCAAACAGTTCAGGATGTGTTCGTGAGAAGACTGCTCAGTTTGACGTTTGGAGCAGACCTGGAAGATTCTCCTTCCTTTGAAAAATGAGACTTTTTTTGTGACCACTTGCTAATCAAAAATGTGCCATAATAATATTAGTTACCCCCTTTTTTTTAACAAAAACTATTGATTCATAAAAATGCATGCAATATATAAATTACAACATACATATAAATATTCAACACATGTATTTACAAGTTTAACTACCAAGTTGCTTTTTCTAATTCTGAGATCCATAGTAAATTAAATGAATGTGACAATTATAATTGACCAGTTTTTAATAACTAAATCAGCTTTATATGTTTAATATATTTGTGTTTGAAAGGGTTAAAAATCCGATTCTGGCAATTTAGTAACAAATGAAATAAGGCATAATATTTTGTTAATATTTTTATTTTGGAGAAATTATTAAATAAGCTTCTTTGCTGAACTCTAGTAATAATTCATAAGTTTTTCATGGCTAAATGGGTTTCGTAAATTTAAAATTTTTGTGCCTAAAAGGATTAAAAATTCTTTTCTGGCTATTCAGTAACAAATGAAGCTAGAAATACAAAATTTTAATATTTTATTTAGGATAAATTATCTAATGATCAAAAGAAAACTGCTCTAAAGAGTTGCCCATCTATTCTGGAAGTTGCTGGGCATACATATTTTTTTGGAGGCTTTATGGTTGGACCCCAGGTAATTTAAGATATTGCAATATTCTTTTAATTAGGTACATTTTTATAATTTTTTTCTGATTTTTTAAATACTTTTGTTTTTTTAGTTTCCCATGAAGCGCTATATTGATTTCATTGAAGGAAATTTTCCCGGAAAAGCCCTGGCCAAAAAGCCATCTTGGTAAAATCTCTGTTTTTTCTCTTATTTCTGTTTTAATTTAATGATATAAACTAGTTCCAGTTGATTACTTTTGCTTTTCAGTAATTTGTTATTCAGTTTGAAAAGAAATTAAATAACTTATTGGATGGACACCAAATAAGTTCTTACGCAATATTTGTATTACAGCAAATATAAAAGATTTGGTGACTTTTATGGTTCTTATCTTAATTTCTCATTTGGTGACTTTTAAATATAAAACTCATGATCTTCTCCAAAAATCATTATGCATTTGAAGCTTTAAAAAATAAAATAACAAACAAAAATGTACAAAATATTACTTGCCTAGGAAAAAAAGTGAGAGCATTCTCCCATAGCATGCTCGGAATCAGTTTGTCTTCGCTGATGAAACTTTTTGTTCTATTGTAACACAACCTTCAAAACTGTATATGTGGTTAGTATGGATTTAAGACATACCACACAAAATACATTTCCTGTAATTAGAGAACTCTGTAAAGAAAGTCTGTGATTCTGCTTATGTGCTGGACACAAATATGCCAAAAATGGTAGAGAGGTTGCGAAAATAAGTTATGATGTGTTTTCTGTGACACATAATTCTCCAGCACAAAAAAAAGAATAAAAATGTGCCCCTACAGGTTTATGCAAGTAAAATTTTAGCTAAACTTCATGTAGAAAAACATTCTTCTTTTTTTTTCTTTTTTTTTTTTTTTTTTTTTGTTAATAACTAAGGAGAAAATTTGAGTAATTCTGAGTATCAAATTTCTTCACTGCTGTTTCTGGTGTTAGATCAGTCCTAATTAAAAGCGTAGTTTGTTCAAATATAATTGTTCTTTTTTAAAAAATTCGTTGTTTTTTTCTGTCAATAGATGAATAATTATGAATGATTGGAATTAGTAGGAGAATTTAATGAATATCCTGTATCTTTTCAAACAACTAGATGCTATGTAAATATTTCTTTCTTTTTTTCCCTAGTGAACTTGTATATATAGTAATATTTTGGAGTGTTTCTTAGGGTGAAAAAATTAGTGTATTTTTTCTTAAAAACATGAATTATTTTATTTTTATTGTTTTAATACGATTTCTGTATATAGTAAAATTCATGGTACTTTAAATAATTATGAATGTATATTGTAGATATTTGCACTTATATGATCTGTCAGTTTGCTAAAAAAAAAAAAGAATGACATATGGTTTTAATGTAAAAAAAAAAAAAAAAAAAAAAAAAAAAAACAGAACTTAGTTGTTGATTTTATTATTTTTATTTGTTTAAAAAATTGTGCTTTTTCTGTTGTAATAATTGTATTTATTATTATTTTTTAGTATGGGTGCTGCAGTAAAACGTCTTGGTTTAGGTATTTTAGTGTTAAGTCTGTTTCAAGTAGGAAATATGTTTGTCCCAGAAAAAGTTTTGCTATCTGATGAATTCATGGTATGTTTTATCTGGTTACTTCTTGCAAATACAGTTTTCCAATTTTTTTAGCGAAAATTCTTTGTTGTTTGTTTCTATGTGTATAATCAGTCTTTATTTATTTTTATTTTTTTTGAAAACTTAGCTAATTTTTTTAGAATCATTTTTATCATTTCATTGAATAAACTAGTGCTATTACTTCATTTTGTACTGTAGTTAAGTCTGTCGAAAAAATCTGTGACTGACTATATTGAATGTAATTACTGCTCCTTTAATTTTCATCTAAGAAATCTCAAGCAAGTAAAAAAAATATTATTTGTATAAAACGTAATAGCTTACTTTTAAATAAAGAAATGAAGGAATTTTTCATTTATTTGGCAAAAGCTATTGAGTTTTAATTATTGTCTCTACCTGAAATACACTGAAAGGAAACTATAATGATCATTTTCCTTTCATGTCCTTGTCAAATTACAGTTGATACAAAACAAGTTAATGTTTTTTAACGTATGGTCTGTTGGGACTTTTTTATTTGTCCATTTCAGATGGAATTCCATTTTTTTTACAGTGTCCATGGCAGTAAGATGGACTGCCATGGAGAAAATATTTTGTATCAATATTATTTTTCTGTAGGAGGAAATTACTTGGCAGGCTATTTTGACTAATTTTCTAATTATAAAGTAATTAGCTAATAAGTCGATGTTTTAAAGAATATGTTTTTTTAATTACCAATTTTTAATCGTGCATTTTTTACTTTTTTCTGTAAGTTCCTTTAAATTTTAACATCCTAGTTAAAAACAAGACTTAATTTACTGCTAATACGTTAGCCTACTTTATATTCAAATTTTTTTTTTTTTTTTTTTTTTTTTTTTTTTTTTTTTTTTTTTTTTNTTTTTGGTATTGTACGTAGTTAAATCAAAATCTGTTTCTTTTTTAAAAGTAGAACTGTAAGACTTTTTTTATAAAGAATGTTTGATTTTCATGGGACACTATTTTTTCAATGTTTAGAAATTAATTTGTATAAAAAATATTCATGACATTTGTATAAAAAATTATTCATAAAATTATTCATAAATATTAAAAAAATTATTATAATAATTAATAAGCCTAGTCAATTGAATGTGAGAAATGTGGAAAGATATAATGCTTGTCTTTTTTTACGGTAATGAAAAAAAATTGAAAATCCTTAAAAGACATTGAAAAAAATAAAAAGGCTTAAAAAAATACAAAACCATTTAACACAAAGTTAACAATGGCTTTGAGCCACTCTCTTGTAAAATTACATTTGGAATATACTAATTCACCTTACTAATTTACAATTCCAGTACAATTTGCTCTGAATCTCTTACATCTAATGTTTTAATTAATCATTTTAAATTGAATATAATGTTTATCTTTTTTCTATATATTTAAAGTCATTTCAATTATAATTTTTAGTGTGCATAGTATTTTTCTGATTATTCATTAATTCGAGGGATGTAATAATTGCACTTTGACAAATTCGTCAGTAAATCTATAAAATGGCATCCGTATCATTAAAAAAGTCATTTGTATGTGTTTTATAGTGGTAAAATATTTTTCATTTATATTTTTGCTTTTTATTTAAAAAACAATTTGTTAATGCAAAAAACAATGGAGGGATATTTGCTGGTTAGGCATTATAGATGGACAAAGTGTCAAAGCACAGTGACTCACACCAATGAAATATTGTATGGCTAAATCTTGAAGAGACAAAATATCTCATAAATTTCGTAAGACCTTCTTAACAACATACTAGTATTATTTAAAAACTCTATTCATGGTTGCATTTGATGGAGAAAAATTTTATCTGCGAAATTTCTCTAGGAATTCACTGTGTATGATATATATGTATATCTTTATTGGCTTCTTAATTTATTCTCAAATGTTTAATAAAATGGTTTGCAGTCATAAAGTTATATTTTTGTTTTCAGAATTATGCTTTATGGAAAAAATTGTTTATCATTGGGATTTGGGGTAAAGTTACCCTTTACAAGTATATTTCATGTTGGTTGATATCAGTAAGTATTATATAATTTACTCATTCTATTGTTTACTTTAAAGTTTCTCTGGTTCTATACTATAGTCCTATTAAAAGACGTTACTTCTTTGATGCATCTGCTTATAAGAGTCCCATTATGTTGTACTTGAAATATGCTACTAAATTTATTCTCCTTCAAATCATTTGACAACTTTTAGATGATGTGCTAAATCCCATGACTCATTTAAAGGTATTTAAATGCTGCATTTTGTATTAAGTACAGTGTTTGAAATGAATTAGGTATCATCTTGTATCTAATCATATTTCAACTTACTGAAATACAATCTTATTCGCTCAATCGGACTCACTTTAAATATGTTTCAACTAATTAGTACTATTTATGAATTAAGTACCCAAATTAGACATAAAAACGTACTTTCTCTGATGAACAGTTAACTTTCACTTGGAAAAGTTACAACAATAAAAAGTGTTGCTATTTTTTACATAGCATTTGTATTCAATTAATTAATTGCAGACTTTGAAGAAACAATCAAGATTTCTTCCAGAAGCATAAAACATAAACATCCCTTAAAAACACTGCCTTTTTATTCATATTGCATTTTTAAAAAAAAATTAAAAACTAAAATCAGAGGCGCGACAGCCCGTAGAGGGCATAGGCCTACTGTGCCCATCTCAGTTTTCTTGACCTTGGGCTCTAGGATGCAGGAGCAGATGTTCCGGTCAGGTGGTCAGTCGAACGCGGAACCCCCAGTGTTTAGTTCTCAAGCATGCTTGGTACTCATTTATCGACCCACTGAAGGGATGAAAGGCTGAGTTTTAAAAGATTAATTAACTCTTTAAATAATAATTGCAACCAAGTAAAATTATTTGAGTTAATAGGTTTAATTTTGATTACTATTACAATATTTACTGTGTTGGGATCATTTCTCAACTGGTTAAATATTTGCAAGTATTTCTTTTTTTTCGGGGGAGGATATTAATAAATTTTTTAAGTGATTTTAAGTTTCTAAATTGTTTAATTAAAAAGCTTTTTTTTTCTCTTCTAAATGCACCTTTAAATGTTAATTTTCTCATAATTTTCAGTTTAAGTTATAGAGGGGAGCTTTCAAGCTGTTAATGAATTAATAATTTTTTTTTTTTTTTTTAGTTTACTTTTCTTGAAAAAAATTTATGCGCAGATATTGTCTTTTAGCATGCTCTTAATTATTTTTATAAGTGGGAGGATATTAATAAATTTTTTAAGTGATTTTAAGTTTCTAAATTGTTATTTTAAAAGCTTTTTTTTCCCTTCTAAATGCACCTTTAAATGTTAATTTTCTCATAATTTTCAGTTTAAATTATAGAGGTGAGCTTTCAAGCTGTTTATGAATTAATCTTTTTTTTTTCGTTGTTTACTTTTTTTGAAAAAAATTTATGCGCAGATATTGTCTTTTAGCATGCCCTTAATTATTTTTATAAACTACAAATGTTTCTCTTATTTTTATAATGAGTGAGAATTACTTTCAAACAGGCACATAAAATAGTATTAGAAAGTAATTTAAAAAATTTGGAGGATAAAATTCAGTTATTACATAATATGACACATTTTGATAAATTTTTACAGGGTGAAGTGAGTGCCCTTTAAAACTCAAAGTGTCCTTTTATGAGAGGAAGTGCCCTGTCGTATTTTATTCTTAAGGAGAACTCTGCTTGTACTATATAATTTCTACTGCATTTCAGGAGGGAAGCTGTATATTGACAGGAATGACATATAATGGAATGGACAACAATGGGAATGAATTGTGGGATGGATGTGCCAATGTTAAGCTATGGGACTTTTCTAAAACTACAACTTTTGAAGGAATAATTAAGGCTTTTAACATCAACACCAACTTATGGGTTGGACAGTCAGTATTTTTCTCTCTATATTAATGTATCATTCTTCTTTTTTTTTTTTCTCTTAAAAGTCCTCTTTTCAATAATTAAAATATTTCAAAAATAGTCATATCTAATGTTTGTGATATTTATGTCAGCATTTTCATATTTTATGACATTCATTTACAGCTTTGTACTCCTTTAGTTATTTGATATTTAAAACAACCAAGATCTTATGCGCAAGGTTACTGTTGCCTTTTTCTGCATTTCTCAATGCTGACTAGTAAAAGTGAAATAAACTATAATATAAGTGATTATATAAAAGAATAACGCTTTCATAAATTTAGAAAAGAAAACAAAAATAAATATCATTTATAACTTAAAATCTGTATTTTTTTAAAAAACTGTGCAATGTTTTGAAAATGTTCCAAATACTTTGAAATTTTCACAAACTTTTAGATTTTGTGATACCCCCTTTTTTTAAGAAGCTAGTAGCGCATTTTCTTTTTGAAGGTGGTTATTATAAATTAATGTTAATAAAATTAATATTAACTATTATTGAAAAATATTATTGAGTTGTTATAAACAGTTAAAATAAATTAATATTGACTGAAATGAAATGCTACAAATAAGTCACCTTTATCTACAGGTAGAAATTGAATTGGGAAATGTTTAAAATCACTCTGAAATATATTTTAAAACATTTTTTTTTAAGTTTCATAATTTTTTATATAAAAAATATTTAAAGTTTAATATTAATATATATTTATAAATGATGATGATGTAATTCTCATTACTTGCATATAAAATCTAAACGTAAATTATAAGTGATTGAATATAGTTCATTTGTTTATAATACTACTTTTTTTTTAAAATTATGTTTTTAACTAATTTTAATTGAATAGCTGGTTTCAATGTTTCCAAACTTTTAAGCTTTGCACCTCACGCATTTTGATCCTAATGAAATTTTTAACCTAATTATGAACCTAACTAAAAACAAGCAATTCACTTTCTTTCCGAAAGTGATCATTAACTGTTATTAAAGAATTAGTACTTTATTCACATGAAAAAATTAATAATAAATTAATTTTAATTAACAAAAGAAATGAAGTATTTGCTAGTATGTCTTTTTCTTTTTTGCCCGAGAAAGCTGGGTTAAAGGACTTAAAATAACTCTATAATCTTTGAAAATTTTGTATTTTATAACTTTTATGTTTTATGCCATTCTTTTTAATTTTTCATACTTTATTTACTTGTATTATTGATATTTATTTATATTAATTTGTATGAATTGATATTTATTTGTATGAAAAAATTTATGTTAATTAAAATAAGTACTTACAAAAGGTAATGATATAACATTCATTACTTACTAATAATATAAGAATTGACACAGGTAATTAATACAGGGCTAAAGCATTAATCAATATCTAGTTATTTCTCTAATTGAGTAGTTTCTTGGCAATTACAAACATGGTCAAATTTTCAGATATGTGTTTAAACGGATGAAGTTCCTTGGAAACCGCTATCTATCTCAAGCTGCCGCTCTATCATTTCTTGCAGTTTGGCACGGTTTACATTCCGGATATTATGTGTGTTTCTTCAATGAGTTCATTGTGATGTATTTTGAGAAAGATGTAAGTCATAATATTCTCTCTTTATTTATATTTTGTTTGTTTTTTGTCAATTTTTAATGTTTGTATTTTTAATAGAACCTCATTCACTGAAAGTAATTAAGACTGAACCTACTTCCGAGAATTAAAATTTTCCGATTAATTTTTCTGTTTATCCATTTTAATTAGTGAACTCTGATTATTGAGGGAATATGTGTCATGACATACTTCAACTTGATGGGACTCGATCTTTTTCAACCTTATTTTGCTTTTTAACAAAAGGAAGTAAATGCACAATAAGTAAAGTAACACTGACACTTTTTACTCTAAGATTGCAGTTCATTTTTATTGTGTAGATGCAGAAGAATTTTACAATTACCATCAAAATCAGGCTGATAAACATGAAGCTAAACGATATAACAGTGACTTTTTCAGAATATTGTTAACAATTAAATCCCAATCATAGAATAAATAATGACAGTACAACATGGATACTGACGATAGCAATAGTGTAACAATAAAAAAATATGACTATAGAAGTACAAGCATTAGCAGAATATAAGTAGATGCATGAAAATTTTACTGGCATGTCTTGCAATCATTATCAAAATCAGGCAGATGAATGACATAACAGTGACTTTTTCAGACAATTGTTTACAATTGAATCTGAATCATAGAATAAATAATGATAATACAACATGGATACTGACAATAGCATCAACATAATCATCAGACAAATGTCATGAATATAGAAGTACAAGCATAGTAGAATATAAGCAAAAGAAGAGATCATCCATAATAGCTTACATGGCTGGGATCTTTATTTTTACTAATTTATTTACACATGAGTAATTAATGCTGACACTATTGATAGTTGACTTAAAATAATGCTGCTGGCAATTCGCTTATAATATTAAGTGATTGAGCCTCATGCTGAGCCCCATAGCATGATGTCGTAAAGTAAAATATAAAAAAATAAGTAAAAGAGAAAATCTGATGCAAGCAGAGTTAAATTTTATAAATAACATCGGTGCACTAGTACATAGCTGCCAGATTTTCCAGTTCCTTCTTCAGAAAATTTTATTTTTAGCAAAATATAAACTTTGATATTTCATTCTTGTTTTAGTTTATGCGATTTAAAATAAGTTTGATAGATATTTGATAATTCTAATAGGTATTTCATTCAGATTTAAGATGCTGGTAATATTAATCATAATAATAAATCTGTTTAGAAATCAATGCTTCTGCTATTTCGCTACCAACAACAGCAAAAAACATTCCTTAAAAATGTTGACAACTGTGTTGGTGCATTTTAATGCGGTTGATCCGAAAATTGCTATTAATTCAGTCAGTGAAATGCTTCTGCATAGCAGTAATAGGTGTCATGATATTCAAATTAAGTGGGGGGAAAAGTGATCATATTCCTTTAATGGAAACTAAATAACTTTCTTCACCAAATTTATTTGTTAATCACATACTATGGTCATCATTATTTGTAAGCTATGTCATACAAAGAAAAGAAAAATATTTTTTTTAAGAAGTCATAAGTTAATTTTCTTTAATAATTTGATATTATTTGGCTTAGGTTATAATTTGGAAATTTATGATAAATCTAGAAAATTATAAAAAGATGTTTGTAGAATAATAATGTGACACATTTTTATTTTACATCAAATATTAAGAAATACTAAAAGTTACATTAATCTTATGAATACTTTAAATACTTAAATAATATGATTTGGTATACAATCAAAACAAAAGATTACATAATTGAATGTAATCTTTTGTTTTGATTTTTCTATTTCTTGTGGAATTATAACAATTTTGCTAGAAGTAGCAACAGTGAATTTATTTTCAAGAAAAGTTTAAATATTTTAGCAAAAAGTACCTTTTTAATATTTTTTTAAAAAATATATGAGGTTATATAAATTTACATGATCTTTTATTTCTAAGAATTTCTTGTTTTAATAACATTATGAACGAGACTATATTTTCTATTTGTTCTTTCATCATTATTGAATCAGTGATTGCTTAAACTAAGATTTTGAATGTCTTTATCTTATTGGAAATTTATTAGAGTAAATTGTGTAACAGCTATTTCCCATTGAATTCTAGCAAATTTGACTTAGAAATAGCTACAGTGAATTTATTTTGTTCTAAATAAGTATTTTAGTTAAAATGTTTTTTTCTTTTTACATTATATAAGGGTTATGTCTTCTGTAATATGTCTACAAGTAATTTCTTAAAAAAGACATTTTCTAATAGTGCTGCGACTTGATTATTCCAGGTGGAATCACTACTGATTAAGCGATTGCCCAAACTGAAGGAGTTACTGACTCAAAGTGCCTTGAGGATCCCAGTGAACATTATTCTGAAAATATATGTTGACATATTTATGGGATATTGCCTTGTTAGTTTTGTCCTCTTGTCCTGGGATCGATACATGCAGGTGAGTACAGACATAACATAATAAATATATTTATTGTTCTCTTTTAAAATTACCTCTTATAACTCACATAACGCTCAAAAGTCTTTTTTACCCTAAAAGTATTAACTAAGACATAATATACATAAAATATTTTGTTGTGAATAATTAGGTTTTTGTTAACTTTATGTTATACTTTGAATTACAAATAAATTTTTAGGATATGTTTGAAACTAAATGATGAAGTGCATAAACTTTTTATTTTATAGCAAATCAGTGAATGTAAATAATTAGGGCATTACAGGAACATTTGTTCAAATTTAGGCATAGTATAATGGAATAGGGCAATTGATGCTTATTTCTTGAAAGTTTTTTTTTCTGTAATTCTTCAAATAATGTTTTGAAGCCATTTAAATTACTATGACATAATATACATAAAATTTTGTAGTGAATAATTATGTTTTTCTTGACTTTATGTTAAACTTAGAATTATAAATAATTTTTTAGGTTATATTTGAAAAGAAATGATGAAGTGTATAAACTTTTTATTTTATAGCAAGTTAGTGAATGTAAATAATTACGGCATTACAGGAACATTAGTTCAAATTTAGGCATAGTATAATAGAATGGGGCAATTGTTGCTTATTTCTTGAAAGTTTTCTTTTGGTATAATACTGTAATTTCTATTCAGTATTATTCAGTACTATTTCTAAACAGTATATGAAGAAATACTGTTTTGAAGCAATTTAATTTAATTACAAAATAAAATACCTAAAAATTAGCACGGCACTCTTAATAATTAAAAAATATTCTAGAATAATGAAGGCACTATGTAATTTTTATGTTATGTTATTGTAATACTTATTTCATATCTTACTAAGGCCTAAAAAATATGACTCCTTCCTCTAAAATGAAAAAATACAGTTCTAAAACTGAAAACATGTATGTTTTAGAATATCATTGGTGCTATGCGACATATATTTATAAGTTAATAGTTGAAATCTTAAGTGTATTTCACTTTATAGAAAATATTTAAAAGCATATCCCATTCAAACCTTTTCGTAGTCTAAAAAAATCCAAATCCGAAAAAAGAATGTGTCTTTTACTTGAATTGGTGAAAACTATTCAGAAATTGAAAACAATGTCTACAGAAAATCTCAGCACCCATTTCTCCATATACTCTTTTCTATATATATTTTATTCAACATTCATCACTTGTTTGTCTTTTTATGTTGCAGGTGTATGGGTCTGTTTACTTTATTGGCCATGCTATTTATTTGGGTTGGCCACTTCTAGCACCCATTGTCAGATTATTCATTCCAAAGACCAAAAATGACAAAGACAAGTCACAGTAATAAACCTTTAAAATTCTAGATTCTAGACATAGAATTGAAGGGAAATGAAAGTTTAAGCCGACCATTGTCTAAGCACTTCTCACTCATGAATTTTCACTTTTTGTTGTCATTTAATGTTTTCTTATTGTTTTATCAATAGCTTATTCTGTTCATGACATATTTTGTTACTAAGGAAAGGCGTACCTGTGATATTATGGGATTATTGATGTTAGCGGTTATATTATTTGATATTGATTAATAAGTAGGTGCCATGTATATTTAGGACTGTAAAACTTCTATTTTGAATTCTGTTTAAAAGTTATTGATTGTACATTATGCACTGATGCATTTTCTGTTAGATAGCTGTAATACTTCCTGTTATTTATCTGTTATAAATAGCTTAAAGGTGTTTTATTAAATGCATAAGAATGTACCATTGAAAAAAGCAATAATATATTTTTGTTATTTTGATTAGTGATTTAAATATATAATGTAATAAAAATAATTTTATTTTTGTTTAACTTTCCTTATTTATTTTTGTAAAAGTCTTTTTATTCTCCAATTTCAGTTTAATGAAATAAAATATTATTCCTAATTATAAGATAAGTCAAGGATTAGAGTCTTATTATTATTGTTGTGTTAAACTTGAGTAATTTTTCTGCTTTTTCTTTCGTAATATAAATGGGAATTAGATTATAAAAAGGAAACAATAAATGAATTAAATAAATATTCAAATTTATGCAAATTAAATTTTAATATAAAAAATATCAATAAGAATTAATGGTGGTTTGATTTTTGACATAAAATTCTTGATGTTTTAGTTAGGGTTTAAAACTGCAGTTGTTGAAAAAAAGTTAGACGTCAAAAATTATTTAAATGGGTGTGTTGATGGGTGTAAGATAATAAAATGTAAGATATTTAAATGGGTGTAAAGATAATAAAACATGTGGTTAAAGAAAGTTTTTTCATCCTAGTTTTGGGGAGGAAAGTATTCGAACAACAAAGTAAGAACAACTTAAACTTGCAAAACCGGTTTTAATGTTTCTTTCTTTAATGGGTTTAAGATTGTATTAGGACTTCATTGCTTGGGTGTCGTGTGTAAGATACTTTATAGTTCAATTACATTACAGATTTTTTTTCTCCAGACAAAGCTGATATAATTTTAGTGTATCACTCACATGTTAGAAATTGATATGAGTGCCAAGGATATAGTGTAAGATTTAGTGCCAATTGTGTGAGAGAGCAATTTATTTTAATGTAATGTGTAAGAATGACAAATGTTATTATGATAACTAAATTCTAGGTGTAAAAATTGGGAATATTTTTTTGCCAACGTAACTTTTTTTTAAAAATTTCCCATATCATTTGATGATATTTGAAGAATATGTTAACTTTAAAAAAAATTAAAAATTATTTAATTTATTGAAAGTAGTATCTTTCACTTAACATTATTAAAGGGAATGTTAAAGTACATCAGCAGGTAAACTCCTGCTGCATATTTAATTCTTATTAGGATTAAGTATTTCCTAACATGTTTTAGCATAAAACAGATAACTGCTAATAACACAAATTTTAAGTCAACAAAAAATATTAGAAATGATTTAATTGATATTTGTGAAGAATTATTTCTACTTAAAAATATCAAAATATTTTCTTTATTAGAAAAATAGCTGTTTTTATGTTTTATCTTTAATAAAAAAATAATAAACATCCCTCGGGAATATGGTTGTGCACATTCTCAATTTTAAATCTTTTCTCATTTTCAACTTTTTCTAATCTCATATTGTACTTTTTAATACAAAAAAGTGCAAAAAAAAATTTTTTTTTTTTTAAATTATAGCATTGCTAATATTATATTTGGAGGTGATGTTGTTTAATAGTATTTTATCTACATTTAAACCAAATATTTATTGTTAGTTTCATTGAAAATTTTCTGTTTCATTTTCCATTTTAAGCACTTTTTTAAGACAAGTAATTTATTTAAACATTTAATCTTTCCAATTTTTTTTTCATCAAGATACATTTATTTAGTTACGACATTTTTGGTCATACTAATGAAAAAATTTGAATAGTTTATAGGTAGTTTTCTTATCTAAATAACATTTAAAAAAATTAGTTTTGCCTTGCAGAGAAAAATGCAGCTTGAAATGAGACTTTCTTTGTATGTAACCACCAGAGAGTTTAATAAAATGATTTCTAAAGTGATATTTAGAACTTATTGCATTTAAATGCATTAAAGAAAGTTTGGGTTTGGGTCTTTATGTTGAATAACCATATTGTTTAGAAAATTTCACTTTAGTATACTTTGGATAAGATATGATAGCGTGTCCTCCAAGTGTTGAGCTGGAGTGTGTGCTGAGACTAATCGAACTAATTAGGTAGTTAAAGTATTGAACTGACTAATTAGTCGGTGAAAGAAGTTGTGTTTCTGCAAACCTGTAATTATCTAGTTTTGTTACAAATGAAGCAAAATGATGATAGAAATGCAGGAAATATGTTTTATTATATACGGTGTGAAAAATTGTGATTTTTAAATGGTTTAGAGAGCAAAAGGAAGGTGACATGGACGACTGTATTTCAAATTATGCTGGAAGAATTAATTTCTGACTGTAAAATAGATAATAAAAATGTATTGAAGATTTTACTTTATAGTTTATTTTCTGCAATTGTGACAATTTTCGCAAACTTTCTCACCTTCACTTTATGGCACCTTCTTTCTAAGCTCATAGTTCATTGAAATCTTTAATTCTAATGTAATTTAAATTGATGTTCTTGGTCATTATTATTTTGAATTAAAAAGGGAAATCGATTTTGTTGTTAAAATGATATTTTTGAATGGTAGTGCTAGTAATGATGTCTAATATGACAAGGCAAATAAATGTCGTGACTGAAAAACACTGTCATGCACACTCAATGTGCATGACTGATTAGGTAGCATGAGTGGGCATGACTCATCAGTCATGCACACTCAAAATAACATTTTGCTGTGCATGTCTGATTAACACTGTTAATATCATTTATATGCAGAAAATGATGATTTCTGTATGATAGTACTGATAATTATGTCTGTCAAGTCAAATGACGGATTATTCATTTTACAGTTTTGTTGTTTTTTGTCACAGGGTTGCTACTTCACTGGGAAAATACAGGGAACTTTTAAACTCACCTAAAATGACAGGGAATTTTGATTTTTTCTTTACAAACTAGGAAAATACAGGGAATTTTGTTTCTTATTTTTGTCTTTTAAAAAATGGTGACCACTCAAAGCGTAATCTTCGGGATATTATCCATGATATTTCAGTTATACTAAACTATTTCATTTACTACAGCATTATTTAAGTATGTTGTGCTGTTCCTTTTTTCCTCTTAAGTTTTTCCCTCAAAATTAGTTTAGTTAACCCAATATAGCTGACACAAGAGCACAGTAATTGTTTTCTCTTAATATATTGTGTATAATATGTACAGAGATAACACATGGAATTTTTTTTTTCCAGATTTGAGTGGCAATCCTGTTATAACAAAATATTTTATAAGTGTTATTTGATTCTGTGTGAGATGTTGCTTAGAGAATTGTTTTTCCTCATGTTCAAGTATGGTGCACGGCAGGAAAAAAAACTTAAAATTTGTTTTTTATGTATTGCTGTATTTGATTTCAATGCTCAGAAACTATTTGTTATGTGTTTGCGTACTTAATATATTTACAGATTAATATATAATATATTTATTTCATTTTGAAATATTATTTCAGGAATGTGAGTGAGTGCTAGACCCAGGTTTGATCTCAATAGGTTGTGCATAGTTTGTCTTTAGGTGTGCAAATTTTGTAAAGTGCACATTTCGATCTTTAGGAAAATATTTTATGAATTTTAAGGAAAAAAAAAGTTATAGAAAATATATACTAAACATAGATTTAATCACGATTCCCTCCTGAATCCGATTCCTCTGGTACTTTTTCAGATGAATTGAATGATTCACTTTTATAGAAATGTTAGTCATTTTTGACTTCTGCTACTCCTAGATAATCACAAATTGTTGCATATTTTTGATTATTTTTATAAATAGTTCCAATATTGTATACAATCTTACATGTACTATTTCTCTTTTAAATTCTGTTACAGTTGTCTTAGTAGTATTAAAATTAGCATGTGCAATAATTTAGATGATGTAAGTTAATGTCACCTCTGTTGATGAAGACAGCATTAATACTAATATTAGTAGCTTGGACATATATGGGGGTTTAGGGGTTGAGATATGGGGGTTCGAACCATTATATTTCATTGAGATGTATTCTGATTTTTTTCTACCTTAGAGCTTTTCTCTTTATATAAAAATTGTTATTATTGATAGTCTAAATACACTGTGACAAGTATATAGGGTGCCCAGTAATATTTACTTTCACCCTTGTAACTTTCGAACTTCTGTAACTAATGTTATGAAACTTGTGTTTAGGTATATCAAAGTGGATAAGCACCACCTGATGGAAAATTTGCAAAAGTAATATTCCTGTCTCAAAAAAAAAAAAAAAAAAAAAAAAAAAAAAAAAAAAAAAAAAAAAAAAAAAAAAAAAAAAAAAAAAAAAAAAANCAAATAGCTTTAAACAAAATTTCATCATAAAATCTTTATTCTGAAATTCAATCATCTCTAGCTTTGTTTCGGTTCTCTAGCTTCTGTCATAGCTTTGTTTTAGAAGAAATCATTTGTTTTGAATGAAATCAAACTTCTCTTGTTTCTGTTGTTTTGGAAGAAATCATGTATTTTTTTAAGACCGTTATATCACATTACAGTTTAGGAAATTACGAACAAATAAATGCATTTTGTAAGCGTTGAGTTTTGGTCTAAATTACTGATGTTTTTCAATTCTTTAGCCCAGTTTGCCTCATTTATTTTATGAAGCAGGAATGCTATTTGTACAGTTTTCAAACAGATGGCTAAGTAAAGTGACTTTAAATTTTTTTTTGTTGTTGCTGCCCGGTGCCACTTTACTGTCCCTAGACACAAGTTTTATAACTCTAACTAGAGTTATAAAATTGTACCATAGTGAAGAGGAGGGATACATATTTCCAAAGTCACTTTGTGTTAGAAGGTCTGCATTTTGGAAAGAATGTGCTTCCTTCCATCGACTGTTTGATGATTGAAGAATCCCGTAATTTCCTAATATGAAATTTTCTTTTCAAAATGGTGGACTTTGTAAATTTTGGTCATTGTGTATTGGAGAAGTTGATAATATATATTTATATATGCATTGCATAACAGTTTATTTCTTTCATAATATATTTTTTATTAAATTAAGCCCATTGTTCTACGGAAGAAAAAATTCGATTTAGCAAATGTAATAAATTTTAAGAGCCTGTAATATTTTTATGCCCTTCTATGCTATTGGAATACATAAATATATTTCGTAATAAAAATGAAACTACAACGTTTATGTAACACTTAGTAAATTGTTAATACTTCATACTTTTTCTCACTTTTCTTCTTTACAAGTGACTCTTTTTCAATCATCTTGTTCAACATGCCAAATAACTTCATAATGCTCTTAAATTGTACAAAATTTTTGCCCAAATTTCATATTAAATAAATCATCTTTAATAATAACAAGATTATACAGGAATTTTAAGTTTTATTTTGCTTGTATTACTGCACAAAAAATGTACAGCTAACAATTTCTGCAATATTTATAAAAATTAATGTTCACCATTAAGTGCTTACATGAATTGTAGTTAGATTGTAAACTAACACAACAGTATTATGCAAATTGCTCATTAATGCAGTGCTATATTATTTTAATATGAATTCTATTCAAAAAAATTCTTTGTTTTAATTAAAATTAAAGATTAATAAATTAGTTATTAAGTTATAAAAATCTTTGTCTATGTATTTAGAAGTAGTTAGTTATTTAGAAATATTTTTTCTCTTTTTAAAAACAATTCAAGTTGTTTTAATTTTAAAAAAATATTTGCTTAATTCTCATTCATTTTTATTAACAACATAACTTTATGTCTAAAATGCTGATTTAAGTGTTTACTGTTAATAATG